AAGTTGATGTTTTATAAAATACGTCACGCTTTGTAGTTGAGATTTTAAATAATATAGTATCTTAACTTCAATGTACAGATAATTTGTAATTCAAATGTAAACTTCTGGAACTACTTTCGTCACAAACCCTCGTGTGTAACTCTTTCACAATATTTTGTAATTTTTGCTTAAAGGTTTATAGACCAAGAGTTAAAGTTGATGTTTTATAAAATACGTCACGCTTTGTAGTTGAGATTTTAAATAATATAGTATCTTAACTTCAATGTACAGATAATTTGTAATTCAAATGTAAACTTCTGGAACTACTTTCGTCACAAACCCTCGTGTGTAACTCTTTCACAATATTTTGTAATTTTTGCTTAAAGGTTTAGAGACCAAGAGTTAAAGTTGATGTTTTATAAAATACGTTACGCTTTGTAGTTGAGATTTTAATTAATATAGTATCTTAACTTCAAAGTACAGATAATTTGTAATTCAAATGTAAACTTCTGGAACTACTTTCGTCACAAACCCTTGTGTGTAACTCTTTCACAATATTTTATAATTGTTGCTTAAAGGTTTAGAGAGCAAGAGTTAAAGTTGATGTTTTATTAAATACGTCACGCTTTGTAGTTGAGATTTTAGATAATATAGTATCTTAACTTCAAAGTACAGATAATTTGTAATTCAAATGTAAACTTCTGGAACTACTTTCGTTAATGTTCAAAGTCTATTAAGTTTTTAAACCTAGTCTATAAAAGCTCGTGGACTCAATTCCCAACCAAGGTAAATATTTTTGTGATGAGCACGATCATTTGTTCTATTTCTGGGTGCAATATATACCTACAATACTGGTTTTCACCAATAAAGAGAGTGATTAAAGAGAAGAAGAGAAAATCCGAGAATTTCAAAGATTTGTAGTAAAAATATGTTTTTGAGCGCTTACAATGCAAACACTATTTAAATAAATATATTTAATAATGGGCTATAATAAGCTATAATAATGGTATAATTAATTACTTCACACTGACACCACATTAGTAGTAGTGGTATCTACATTGCACCCGTGCGAAGCCTGGGGCGGATCGCTATTTTCAATAAAATAAAATTAGGTATGATGGCAGCACCGGGCAACGCACACATGTTTATAGAACCCGACATCACTTCGTTCTTCGCAAAATTCCAGCTTAACTTTTTTATTCGATCTGAGCTGCCATAATAAATGAAATAAATTTCCCTTCTTAATTTATGATTTACTGTTTGAGAGTACTATCGATACAATAAAGCAGACTAATTTCTATTGGCAACCGTTTTTCTTCAAATATTTCCTTATTATGATTGATTTTGATCTTAAGGTAAAGAATTACTTTTTACATCATGATTTTTACAATGATTTACATAATTTCCTTTTTATTAAAATATAGTGAGATGTCCTTAAATTTTACAAATATTAATATTTTCATTCATACTGATTTATTTCTAAATAGCCTAAGTATATATTTTAGTCTTGTTCACTCACACAAACCACCTAACTTCCATTAATCAAAGTGAAAACCTAATCTGTTATAATCTAATCATTTTGAAGGAGCTATCACAGTTTCGTGTCGAGTGGATATCAGAATAATATACCTATAGTTTAATTATTACCCAGGCTAAGACGACTAGTAGGGTCGTCACTTCGGTGAATAACCGTACAAAGATGAACCCCAATATTGGTAAGAGGATTACTGACTAATTGATTTCCCTCGGTTAAGGCGAATATCGATTGCCGTGATCCCAGATTAATTGTTATTATGCATTGCTTTTAACTTACTTATTTAAAATGAAAAAGAACTATACCTACCATATTTTTGGTAGTATGAGTTTGTGAATGTTTTTTAACGTAGTTTATTTTTTAGAACTAAATAAGTATATTAAATAAAGGAATAATCCGGTTTTAATGCGTAATAAAACTAAATCAAAAATAGTTTTGTTGTTAGTCTGTCCTTAAACTTAAAACGCAATGGGAATGTAGTATACAGATTACCGTAACGCTGCCTTAGCCAGGATCGATCACAGTGCCGACAAACTACGAGTACGAGGATGAGAATCGCGTTTTTTATATGTTTGGCGTGTTTTATGTATTGCTGATTTTAAATGGTAACTTGGAGTAACATGTCAAAATCACAATGTTGGTAGGTAATCTTCGCCATTAATTAACAACCCTCTCTTTACCTACCATTTAGTAAATACATTTATTTTATTCCTTTCTTTATTGTTATTGAGTCAGAGGTCATCGGTTCAATTTCTACCCAAGTCTAGTAATTGTTTTATGATCACGATTATTTGATCTAGATTTAAAACTGAGGTCAAAATTGCGCATTGTGTTTAAAAGTGAGTTTCGTATTACTGAGATAAAAATGATAACAATATATTTCTGCACCGATCGTAAAAAAGGCGCATGTAACAACAAGTCAAAAGTAATAAAAATATAAATATTTTTTTGTCATTTAATTGAAAATGACAAATAAGAGACAACAACCTATTTGAAAAAAAAAAAGTTTATTGTGTCAAATAATTAGTTTACAGAAAGTTGTGTTCAAAATCTTTTAAGCAAATACGAGTAATGCCTGTAGTAGAAAATTTCGCTCCTCCGTGTTTTACATTGCATGATTTAACACAATAATTGGTGAACTATTAGGAAACCTTCTTTTAAATACAAAATCATTTTTACTTACAAATGTTTGTGTGGATGTGTGTATGTATGTGTGTGTGTGTGTGTGTGTGTGTGTGCGTGTATGTGCGCGCGCGTACGCGTTAGTGTTTGTATATATATATCTCATTCTGTGTATTGTAATAATGCCTCTGTGTCCTCGTAGTATTTGTAACTAGTATTTCTTTGCAATCATAGTATTTTTTTGTGTGTATGTCTATCTTTTAATTTATTCTATTATATAATGGAGCTGATCGTTTTTTATATTGTATCGGTCCAAATTTGGTCTTTGTTGACGGTATATCCGCTATATTATATTTCCTTCTCTTACAGTTTATCCCCACTTTAAAAGGCAAAGACTTATGCTTTTTTAACACCGTTTGAATTATATACAACTTTCTGACAGAAAGTACATCACTGACTTGATACAGACTTACAGTAACAAACCTATGTTTTTTAAAATTCATAATCTTTAGAAGTGCGCGTTGTGATCGTTCTAGATGTATGAATTTAGTCTTTGCTGCGCCTCCCCAAACTGGAATACAATATACGAGCACAGATTGCACCAATGCAAGGTAAATTTTTGTAAGTAGATTTCTATTATAGGATAGATTTTGGACTTCTAGGGACACATATTTTACTCCGTAATGAAATAATGCAACACGATATTGAGTTAGTGTAGTGGTTAGGGATCCCGACCATCAGCCAGAAGTCGTGTTTGATTCCCACCCAGGACATGTTATAGAGTGATGTGCATAGTCATTAAAATTGGTTCTGTGTCTGGGTGTAGTCTATCTATATGTGTGTATCACACTAAAATTACAGAGGCGTAAGTTTGTGAGTGTGTGACTGTAAAGACTAAAGTAAAAATAAGATACGTTTCCGTTATGTATTTGGGATTTTTACCGCTTTTTCAGATTACGGTAATCATAGTTGAATTGTTAAACTGATGGATGGGTATATTCGGGACAGATTCTTAGGCCGTGACATACTTGTATCTCAGCGAGGTTAAATTAAACTATAATAACCTGTAATTACAGTTTTTCTCAGTATTAATGTTGGGTATAATAAATATTCCCAATCCGCACACCAATGAATAATACCGGCAACTGCATTCCAAGTACAGGGCAACATCGTCTAAGAATGCCCTCGATGTATCTCTATAGTTCCCTGTTAATTACTCTTTCCATTATCTCGAACAAAGGGAACACTGTAGCGATAGGACTATGCATAATTTTGATTGGATTGTGTAATTAAAAAATAAAGGAACTTGTGTTGATTGTTACTGCTTAAGTTATTTGTGAGTTTTTTTTACTTTATTTTCAAAATGTTATAGAAAAATTTAGTCTAATTCTAAGAACATTATAAATATATTTAAAAAGATACGGATTATATGTTTAGAAAAATCTGGACATTCCATCAATATCTTAGGTAGGTTTATGATCGTTCACTCATTTAAGAATAAGTAAACTAACTTTGCTATCATCTTACGTTACCTAGTGCAAGACCCTAAATGTATCCACACTGGTCTTTGAGGATATGAATGTTATTATTAGCTTTTCGTGATTGTACTTTGCCAATAACTTTAGATATCCCTCGGGAATAGTAGTTCAGAGTAAAAGGTTTTTTATACCACTCAAAATGTTAATGCATTATTTTATGATGGTCGATCAAATGATTAAGGTGTGAATGCGTAACAAACATACAAATTTATTTTCGAGTTTTTCTTCGTTTCTAAGGAGAGGCCTATTTCCCGTAGAGTAGAGACTTTCTTAATGTGAATGTTAAATCAGCGACTCAGCAATCGCAATTTATAATATTATATACTAATATATCTCACACATCTCACACAGGGCCGTCTGATCTCAAACTAGGCAGAGCCTGTACTATGATAACTAGACTGCTGATAAACATACTTATATATTTTTAAATAGATACATATTATAGATAAATTACACCCAGACCCAAAACAAATGACCGTGCTCATCACACACGACCTCCGGTTTAGCAGTCACCGTTACTAATCATTAGACCAACAGGCCCGTCATTTACTTACCAATTAAAATTATCGGCTTCTTAAGTCGTTTATTTTCTGTTTCAGTGGTCTGTTATTTTAGCTAGTCCACAATAAATAAGAAAAAGCATTAGATTTGTTATTTTTTTATTGGAAACGTCGGGAAAATAGACAAAGTAAAGAAAAAACATCGTAATATAAATAGACAATATTATTGTATAAATTTTTGTATACATATTAATATGTATAACCGAATTATCTATATTATTACACTGACTAGATATTTATCTCTTAACAATTTGGCAGTTTCGTTCCTCAACTTCCTGAATCTTGTGAGCAGCCTGTGAAAAAATAAGATATACCTATAATACAAGTAATGTTAGCCTACGGCTTAAATCAACTACAACAAACAGTACTAAAACAAACGGGTCAAATTTTTTATGCCGGCGGGCATTTTTTATATACGGGCAAATCTATGCTGGTGTATATTTGCACACACAAATAGAGTGTTTATAATAATAGTGACCTTAAGTGTTTTATGTTACAACCACTGTCCTGTTCGTTTGATACTACTATCATTTTTCACCTTGTGTATCCATCCAACTCTTTTACATTGTTTAGACACATACGACAATTTGATAAATTGTTTATACTTTAGTCTTTGGAAAACAAGAGAACACCTATAAGGCTGTGTCTGCTATCCGATTTCTGAAATCTCCGCTTTATAAATCTCTTAATGTTTTTCCGATTTTTGATATAAAATGAGCTCTAATACGATTATAAATTTCCGGCGACACTATTACTGATAAAGAGCTAATAAAAATAAAATATGAAAATAGTACACAGCCCTAGGCAGACTCAAAGTATATAGCTAAGTTTCATATATTCTAGAATGAACATAATTAAATCCATTTTTTTTTGCAAATCAAATACGTTATTATGAAATAACTTGGCAATATACACATAAAATCAAGTCAGCAGTTTTATAATAAAGTGATCTCACCATGATCAGGGCAGTAATGTCTTCGGCGTCTCCGTCGTCGTTGCGCGTCACATGCGTCTACGCAGGTTTCCTCTAAACATAACATAATACGCATTTCATCAATTATGGTACAGTAATAGCTATAGGTACAGTTTTCATTGTATCATATTTAAGTGTTTTACTTTAGAACTTTATAAATTATTTGGGTTAAGAAGAAATGAAGGAAGTTCCGTTGTAAAGACTGACCGTCGCAACATGGTGCATGTTGTGGTGGCGCGGCGTCGTCGTCGTGTCTGGCAAGTGCGCGTAGCTGCAATGTGTATGCGCGCGCGCCGCCGCAGCCTGCACCCACGCCCGCGCCACCCGCAAATGTGGCGTATGGGCTTATCTCGTAAACATCTGGCACGTCAGGTTTATTTAATTATGAAATACTTAAGTTATTTCTTGAAAGAGCAACTTGTTTACAATACAAATTAAAAGTGATAGTTAAGGAAATTCGTATTTAGGGCAGCTACACCGTGATGTTATTTCAACCCCAAATAAAATTAGAAAAATTGCAAGAAAATGATAACTTTAATGATGATGATAAAACAATTCAATATAGTGGTATCTTTTAGACATATTGTGTCTTTTCTGTTAGTTATTTGCAGGTGACACACCTAAATTAGTTTAGCAATACAGGTCAACCTAGCTATAACTCTAAAACTTTAAATAAATGTTAAATTTACTATTATTTTTAAGTAAATATGTAAAAAATATGTAGGTAAACATAGACATAAACACTAATAGACTATTGAATGGGGTCATTTTACAAAATTAGCCACTTCAGTTCTGTGAACAATAATGGCACTGTGTTTTGCGGTGAGCCGAGTACCGACAAAAAGTTGTACAAAAACAGGACCTACCACTATAATTTCTATTTCAACTTCGTTCGGGAACAGATTACCTTAATATCAAAATATGAATAAGTATTGTGCAACATGACCAAATGACCACGAAATAGGTTCTGTCTTAAGCATCATAGCCACGGTTGTCTTGACCCGAAATGTGTGTTATAAACTTTGAAACTGAAACTATTTTTATATATTCAAATATATTTAGTTTTTCCAATTTGAAAATGTAAATCATATAGTGAAGGTTTTACTACACCACTAAGGCAGCGCTTTTCAAATTCCACGTGGACGAAGTTGTGGGTTCTAGCTAGTAAGTATTAATAATAATAATAATAAGCATTTAATTCCGACGTTATTTCAGTTTTTCATACTACTCAATAGTCCCTAGTACATTAGTCATAATATGTCCCTAATTTCGGTGTGCCTTACGGCATAGGCCTCCTCCAACGTCTTCCACTGTTTCCTGTCGGTTGCAATCCTTAGCCTTAGCTTAAGTATTATGTTTCATAATTTTTACTTGATAGTGAGAAGAACAAAATTTGTATTGATTGTATTGATAAGAAAATTAATATAACTTGTGAAACAGAAGTTATTTTTACTTTAATATTTTACCTGGTGGATCAGGTGGTAGCTTTGAAGATTGATGTTGTGGCGCTCTGTATGTGCCACATGTTGGCTTCTCTGCACTCGTCGATGCACGCGCAACAGCACCGTCGGTTCTGTATAAATAGTTTCATAATATAAACCAAAAAAAGAAATTCATTAAAAAAAAAGTGTAAAATTTAGAAAAACGTATAACAAAGGACATAAAAAAGTAGCAATGCGTAATCTAGCTATTAGATCGTAGCTATTTAAGAATACGTCCCATCTTCTATGTAACTAAAAAATATGAAGTCTTTAATATATAAGCGATTTCTGATAACAGCGATTTTTCAACTGTTTTTTCTTTAAAAATTAAGATAGTTATTATTTCTAGCTATACACTAAGCTTTGTGCTGTATACCAAATAACACGATTAAGTCAAGAAGTCGAGGATGAATGGAAGATTGGTGATTATGGAGCCTTTAGTAATAGCTGTTTTTGGGCTTCTATCTTATGCTACTGCGCTAGCGCTCCTTAAGCACAAAAGTCACGTTTGATCTGCAGTTTCACAGGATGGATGCATGGGTGATATCTTTAAGTAAAACAGCATTAATATGTGATAATAACAGCTTCCTATATCACTATTAAGTTATTCGCAGCTTTAATGAACAACAAAGTAACTAACATTTAATCTTCTAAATACAGAATGTGTTGAGAGAATATATATATATATCACTTAGTACTTAACCAATTTCCATTGACAATGTGTAAAAAAAAAACGCTTTTGAAAAAAGTCATATTATTATTGAGCTCACTAGGACGTCAAATAAATTATTAATTATTCCAGTACTTTAAACACATATATAAATTAAGGTAACAATAACAAATGTATTGAAATATTAATTATTGTAAAACTCTGTATCTGGGTCGCATTTAATTCATATTCAATCGATTCCGGGTATAACCACATTAATACATTGTAAGGTGTGTACCTAATAAACGAGTAGATCGTAAAACGCGGTCACAACGATGCCAGTTGACTCAGTAACAGAACTGCTCTCTCTATTATTTTACGACTGCTCATACCTTTTCCATTGTCATTGTTATATTGAATTATATCTAATAATTGTATAACTAATACTGCTTAACTAGTAGTAGTCGTTAAACTTACACCGTTTTGAAAACAAAAATAAAGTACCTGTAAAATATTAAAATGTATTTCAACCAAATGAAAAGTGTAAATGTTAGTAGTAGAATAAGTAATGTTATCAAGATATTTTTATAGTATAGGAAGGAAGGAAGGAAGGAAGGAAGGAACGAACGAGTAGACGGGATCACCTGATGGTAAGTAACTACCTACCTACTACCTACGCCACCCATGCAAACCTGCAACTCAACAATCACAAGTGCGTTGCCACTCTTTGACTGCTCTCCCCATAATCAGGGGAAGGAGAGGTTTGAAACAGAATTATGAAAAAAAAACAATGAAAAATTACGTAACATCGGTTTTCTGTGTGGCCGTGGTATCACTGTGGTCGAGCCGAACCATTTATGCTAAAACATACAAAGGGGAAAATCAAGCAGGCATCTCAAAATCAAGTTTCTCAATGATTAGAGCCTTGTTAGAGTCAGGTTTTTGAATAATACCAAAAAGTCAATCCAATCCTTGACGGCTTCTTTAATATATTTCGCTTATCATAAATATCTAATCATTTGAATTTAAATAAAGCAGATCTCATTTCCAAATCCTCGTAAAAAATATGTTTCATTAGCAAATATACACATCTACGTGCTCGCATCTACGTACGTATTAATCAATCATACTCAAAAACTTTATACTTAAAGCTGTGATTCCGCAGGCAGGCATCGATCCAAAAAAGTCATTAAATAAAAAGTTTACTTCGTTTCATAAGCAAAATATGACCTAAAAATTCCATCGTCACAAATGACAGTTTAATTTTATATGATGGGAGAAAAAACCCTTGTAAAAGAATACGTTCAAATGTCAAATCGTGAATGGTTGAGTGTTGAAGTGATGAGAAGGGTCGATGGAGGCGCTTGTGTCAGCAATGTCACGTACAGATCACTGCTAACGATCCACCTTTATTTCAACTAATGTTTTTTCCTTTACTCAGCTTAATGATTCTGAGAACGGAAAACTGAACCCAGCCATTTTAAATGTTTTTGAGTTCTGTATGGTATTACAGGTAAACAAATAAATACGTAACTGTAATCACGTTAATTAGTATTCATAAATATACATACGTATATTACAAATACGCACCACAAACTATATATTATTATACAGTATAGTATCCATCTAAAGGTTGTGCAGAAATCACACAGACTGCGATTTGGAACCCATTGTATCACGGCTGTTTTGTTTTTTTTTATTGGTATATTTCCTAGCCATGGTGTGCATAAAGAGTACCTATCTATCTATCTAAATTTTGATACAAACCGCACGCCCTCTCCAAGTACCAGTAGCTGGGGAACCAGGTATACTCTAGAAAGTAAAGCCCTGGTACATAACCTGTTCCCCTGCAAGATAGTACAGACAAGACAGTTAATCTTGGGAGAGCCATACTTCAGCACAAATGGGCCGTTTTGACCCAAATGAATACGGCGTAAGAAATCTGGTGTTTAGAAATTCTTTCGATGCTTTTTTCCGAGTAAATGTGTTTACTGGAGGTCTGACCCTCTCTTCCTCCTAACACTAGAGGGAGAGGGGCAACATACAGGGCGATAACGCACTTGTCTTTTGAGAAAGTTGCAGGTGTCTGTGGCCGGCGGCAGACACTGACCTTCAGGTGACCCATTTGTTCGTTTCCGCCTTGCATAATATAAAAAACCTCCTTAATCTCATACTTCTTACAAATACCTACTCTATCACTTTATTCTATAACATTTGTACTGCCTCGGTGGTGCAGTGGCAGCGTATGTGACTGCTGTTCGACGGAGGTTGGGTGTTTTATGTGTATAATATGTATGTAGTTAAAAAAAAATGCATATAACTATTCTATAAGTCAATCTAGTTTTCACAGAACAAGCTCTGCTAAGTTTGAAATCACATGGCGTTGTCTGTCAAATGTAAAAAATATTAACAAAAAAGAAACATATGTACACCATTTTTTATTTTAGAATATAAATCATCACTCACGAATTGTCACTCAGTATTTAAACAACAGCTATACTATATATACAAAACATGTTTAAATTGGCCGCACTTCAAAGTACGGCTTTTGCTTAGCTTCTTGAGTGATGACAATGAGTCGTGTTTTGGCAAGGGTTGTGGTATTCTTAATCCGGTCTGTTTAAATGTGACGTAAAACAATTCGTTGTATTGTTGTTATGCAGACCATATAACATAAAATACTAAAATGTATAGTGTAAGTGTGCTGTTCTAATAAACAATAAATTTAATTAAAGTATTTAATGTAGAATAGTTAAATTCAAACATCAGTCCTTAGTATGCTAGTTGCGCTAGCAATTAGGGTGGGAGAGTCTACCATTTATTTTCAGTGTCAAATTCTCTTTAGTAAGTTCCATTATTATACAATATAATATTATACACGTTATTAAATAAAAAATCAAAATGTAGATAGTGAGCGATTATAAATTTTATCGTTTGTAGGTTTCAACGTTACTATAAGATTCTCTATAGACAAATAATTACTGTTATAGCTATTTCGCTCTGTCGCAATCAACCCTTGCTAAATAACTGAATAAGAATAATATGTTAAGGATAAATAGTATCCTTTTAATTAGCTATTATTACAAATCGACTGCTAAGTCTGCTAACCTACCTGCTTACCTTTGACTCAGTCTTAAGATGTTAATAAGTTTCACCAAATTTCACAATACGTTTTGTAAAATTTTGTGAAACTTATAAAATGGAAACATCTATTTACTACTTGGTACTATTCTAAATAAAACATACACGTATGTTTTAGTTTAATTGCTTTTTTATACCCAAGTACTCGTATTACTAGTTAGCTATTTTAAGATTGTTTAAACCACATTACTGTTTTAAAAGTTTACTTATTCCAATATACTTTTAACAAATTTTAACTGTATTCATTTGTATTCACTATTACTTATGTATCTTCATATTTCTCAGATTTAAATTAAACAGAAACGAGAAATATACTGTACGTTATAATTAAAAAAAGAATTTTCCTAATCAACCGATTAAATGATGAAGTTCTGAGATAACAAACAAAAAAAATGTAACCGAATTCATAGTTCTTGAAGGTGATAAAGAAGTTAGACTATGGTTACTGTTAGGTTATCTGTCAAAGACACAAAGTTTAGGTTTTTGATAACTAACCTTTATATTTTAATCACTTAACACTATGTCGCAAATATGAACTTACCTCTTTCGTCTCAATAATATGGCAAGTATTGTCAAAGCTGCTAGCGATAATGCTGCACATAATGCTAGCAACAGTGCCAGTTCGCCGGCTGTTGCAGGGAAAGGTGCATCTACTTCTTCAGCTAGTCCATCTGCCGCGGCAGTTGCGAATTCGTAAACTTCGCGCGTCCAGCCCGCTTCATTTGATGCACGAGCTGCTACACGATACCGGGACCCGGGAGTTAGACCTAGTAAGTACGGCCTAGTAAATATGGCTTTTAAATATATTAAAAAGAGTCAATAAAAGTATGTACTTGTTGTACTAAAATAGCAGCGAAAAGTTAATAATATTCGTCCTAGTAGTGGAAGTAAACATTACTAAAAAGTATAAGTAAACATTACTCACCACCTAATATAACTTCTCCACCAACCGGCACATCCCTAGAACCAGCAATTCCAGATCCGGCCCATTCCAATTTTAACGCAACGGGACCACACCCTCCATCACTCCAGGCAGTGGTATCGAACCTTGCATGAGTAGCATTAGCTCTAATCCATCTTGCATCAGGAGGAGCAGTAGGGGGTCCTCCAGAAGTTCTCACAGCTAGCTCAGATCCTGGTGCACCTCCACCTGATCCATAAACTCTGTATGCAGAACCACACCGAAGCCCTGTCAAAGTAAAGGGCCCCGGACTTGCTATCTGTATGCGCCATTCTCCCTACGAAAGAATTCTGCGAGTGAATAGATTGTTGAAACATTTAACAAAAGTCCAAAAACAGTCAACGTCAAGATTCTTGAGCACTGGTTATTTAACATAATTACATAACACACTTTAACATAATATAAAGGTATATCTTGTGTAATTCCGAAAATTAATTTATATATGGTTTTAAAATTAATACTTGTTAAAAAAATATTTGATGTAAATAGCTATAATATAATTTTACAAAATACAATAAATATAACTAGATTTTTTCCCTACCTTTTTAGGGAAAAAATCTTAAATTTTACTCAATAGTATTAAAAAAACTACACATTTAAGGAAATAATACCGGACATCAATTTAATGTTAATTACCTCCGGTGAAGTGAGTCTCCAGTGTATAGTATATGTCTTAGGAATAGCATGACCGGGCGCCCTAAGGGCTGGTCTTAGCTCCAACTCTAGTTCTCTTGATCGGGCCTCTAATAGCGCTAACCCTGGAGGGGCTGGTGGGCGAAGCACCACTACTCGCCACGTAGCTGAGTCCGACCCATGTGGGTTCTCAGCCACACAAGTATAGTTATCAGCGTGAGATAATTCCAAACCTGTTGTAAAATATACATTTAAGCATTGTTTGAACATGGTGTGGTTTTCATTCTATTACCTAACTTTCGTTTCTCTATTGAAAAATAATCTTCTGCCTTTTACAACTTATCCAATAAATAAATAAACTTTTATACATTAATTGTTACAATTGTTTTAAGATGGATGGTGTGCAATCATTTCATTTACTATTTAGGTAGATTTAAAAAGTATAATATCTACTATGTTTTTTTTATTTATTTATTATTCAACTTTTTTACAATAGTTACCTTAATACTAAACTAACTTTGACGTTTGATGGCGAAAATTATTGTACGTGCAATAATATACACATACAATAATTTTTAATAGTTACTTCAGATCTTATGTATAACGATATATTTAGAAATCCATGAGTACCTGTAAATGACAACGAGTATATTCAGTACCACACATTCTATTACCTCTGATAAGCAGCGCGTCTCCGTCAAGGTGGAAAGGAGGGCGTGGGTGTAGCGGTGTGCCCCCGCGCAACCAGCGCTTGGCCGGAGGCGGAGCACCACCCACAACGCACCGCAATGAGAGTGAACCACCCGCCGCGCCCATCACAACTCCACCAAATGACGAGATACGGGCTGGTGCTAAACGTTAATTTCAACACATCAACATTTATTGAAAACTTGTTCTCGATATACAAAGCAACATTTTCCGTAAAACAATTTTTCACCAGTCCCTATGGACTGATAGAAAATTTATTGATTCACGTGATAGACAAGATGCAGGGGTACAGGAAATCCCACACGGGGGGGGGTCGTCTCCCACACGGGGGGGGTCGTCAACTTGTCTGTAGATGGCCCGAGGTATGTCGGGGCACCAGGGACTTCCTTTCTAGGGTATACCTGGTTCTCCAGCTATTAGTACCCGAGACGGCGTGCGGTTTTAGTCCGAGTTTTAGTCCGAGTCCGACATGCCACCGATAGGTATCCGAGGAAAAAAAAAAAAAAGAAAAAAGAAAAGGGGTACAGGAAATGGTAGAAGACAGTTCAAAATGTGTTCAGTTCATGCTTTATAAATTATTTTTGTCTAAGACCACTATCAATCACGTAATCACATATAAAACTATACCACTTGTTTAATATGTGTGATATAGATATTATAAAATATTTCACATTTTTTAACATAATATGCCACCTATTCGTATATCCCTGTTTTAAAGGCCTCTCCACACAAAATATGACCTGCGGACAAACCAGATCTCTACAATACGGACATGCGGGTACGCGATCTTTTCGAGTTAGTAAAGTCTCAATAGGGGTTCCCCATTCAGGACTCGTGATATCGCTTGCTCTAGCTCTTTAGGCCTCCATTTCCATTGCTCTAGTTTACCTTTTGAGCCATCTGAACAAATTCTTAATAAAATAAAACCGGTCACAAGCCTTTGTAAAGTCATACATCGCACAGACCAGTAGAAAAATGATGATGCTAACAAATAGAAAAGAAAAGAAAAAAAAATAGAATAAATTTATTTACACTCTTACCTAAAGCGCTGGTTTGACATGCCACAGAAGAAGAAGGCGGCCCTTCACCTGCTAGTGTTACAGCACGTACCCACGCTTCGTAAGTCCGACCCGCGCGTAGTCCCCTCAGCTGTCGAGTGCATTCCGTCGTACTACCCTCAGTTTCCACGCACGCGTTTACACGAGTCACATTTGGCTCTTGAGAGCTAAAAGAATAATTTAAAATCAAATACGTTTCTTTAAATATGTACATATTTTTCCCTATCATATTTCAAAGAGATAACTTAGATCACTTAGAATTATGTTTGTAGTAAGAGGGGTAAAGGCGGATGGTTAGAAATAGCTCAATCTAAGCGGTATTTAACTTGGATTACGATTGACTAAGTTTGTCTATTCCCCTGACAGATAGATGGGCACTGTTTCAATTATTAACTTGGGCCCCTCTGCGGTTAAACTAATTAATTGCTTTTACAGAACCTTCAATGAAATATATTTAGGCTGAGTAAATAAACTTTTAAAATCATTACTTGTAATATTTACATCTTATTTTTTCCACGTACATTTAAAAAAATCTTGACTTCTTTTCGACAGTTTTTGCCTTCTTTTACTGATTATAATAGGGAATATGCATGTATTTTTTTATTTTTTTAACGATTCTACTAGTTATTACATTACCAAAAATAAATATAACACATCCGAAATATAAACGGTTAAGCAAAAAAAAATTATGAAAATCACTATCATTTTGGGGCAATTTGAACACGTCCATTTTGGCGCGCTTTTTTTGTGACGTCGGATTACACTTTCAGACGAATTCGATGTCAACAACGGAGTGAAGTTCACAAAGTTTCTGAAAGTTAAAAAAGTGAGTGATAAAAATTTACTTATTACCATGGAAAAGCAAATAAAAACTTTTTATAAATATTGTGCCGTTCCTTTGTGCCCAAATAATATCAAAACTGCACCTGAGCGTATTTTAGGTTATATTTATGTTATACGACTATTAACAAAACCATGAAAACGATCATTTAATAAAAATTATATAACTTGTTTACCTCGCAGCTTTTACTCCTCTGAGTTCCTCAGACGTAAAATCTGAATTAGATGCGAAATAGGTGCTCATCATAAACACGTCTATTTTAGGAAGTTTATCTGATTGTGCTTTGACAAAACCGGTTTCAGTCATTGTGTTGAGTCTTTCTACACGGGAATTTAATAATTTAACACTGAAAACGTATTAGTTATTAACTTAAAATGAAACAAAAAATCACCAGAAACCAAATATTACAAATACACACAACTTGTTGACACTCTTGACGGTGTAGGTTGACTTCACGTTTTATTCAACCAATAGCGTTGCGTTTTAGAAATTTGCGAGGGAATCTTTGATGGAAGCCAATTTTTGATGATTAAATTTCACTTTTAAATTATAATAAATTTCAAATATAATTGTATGGGTATCTTTTTTTAGCAATAAAAATTAACATTTAATTAACATTTTGGTGTCACGTGCATATTCCCTATTAACTAGCTGCAATTGAGCTCAATTGGTGCTAACCTATTTGAGTTTTTGAAGCGTACACAAACCAACTTAACGTTTTATATATATATTTAGATAGGCTAAACCAATATTAATTGAAGTATATTTAAAACATCCAATTCAATTAGAATTTCTCTAGAAATGTATTAATTCAATGATAAAATCAAACGTACGGTTGACAACACTACTACAAAGCGTTACAAACTCCGGCAAGTCTCAATAATCATCACCACTGTATTTATAACATCACTTACCCGGAGAGATCCTTAACATAGAGCATGTAATGTGTGAGTTTTCCGTTCGGTTCCGGCGGTGGCAACCAGGAAGCGCGCAGCGATCGCTCACCAAGCGCTATTAATTTCATACCACCCGGGGCACTCGGTACTGCGATATCAAAACAAGTTGAACAGGAAACAAGAGATTACCGTGAAAACATTAATACGTCAATAAAACATTATTATTCTCAAGGCACGTGTGTACGCGCTTACGTCGTAAAATGTTATCACTTCATAGCAGGGATATAAAAACAGGATCACGCTAAAGTTTAAGTTATCAGATTACACGGTATTAAAAAGACTTAAGTTTTGGTACACTTTCTATTTATTAACAAAAATTTGTCTCTCTACCTGTTTACTTCTGCGATTACTAAAGCCGACACGTATAATAAAAATATCCCATCCTAAGTAACAAAACTTTGAAACCGGGAACACCCAAATACTCCGAATATTTTATTCCGAATTTTGATAATCCGATTTTCAAAAGTCCGAATTTCATAATACGTAAGAATTATAATGTTTATTATTATGTTAGAACTGTGACCAGCAAAAAAAAAAAAAATATTTGAAAGAAAATAGAAAGAATTCAATTTTTTTATGTTTCGATGATGATATGATACGTAAGTTCATTTGTTTTATTTCTCCTAGTAATTCATCTAAAGTCTGTGTGTATGTAGAGAGATTTATTAGTATTCTGGTTAAGAGTACTATAGCATAGGTTTTGCCTAAATAAAAACCAGACGGCCATATTATTTTATAAATTCTAATGATACGTGAATTTTATTATATAAAGTAAATGAACATGAAAATAAATTTTGTGAAAGTAAATATAAAGATGTCCAATAAGAAAATCAAACTTTTTCGTTACAAATATCTTCAGTCAGGTCCCAAAGCAAGCTAGTCCCGGTAACTTCCAATAAGGTTTATTACTCGTATTCTCTGAACTAATTAAGATGATGAAAAAACTTTGAATTATGCAGCTCAGAAAAGAGAAAAATTTCAAACTACTAAGTTTCACAACATTAGTTAGCTGCTGGGTTATGTTGTGCTAAATTTGACTTTAAAATCGTTGTTTTAAATGAAATACGACGAGTTTTAAGATATTATAACATAAAAAACTTTGTTCTACTTTGAATTTAACAAATAGTTTAAATAAAGAATTTTATAAGTACGTGTAACTTTTACTGGTTTCTATTGTTCAGAAGTAATTGCTAAATAAATTAATGAATGCTTACCATCTTCATCAGTTCTGCAAATTTGAGGAGCCGATAGTGGTCCATCACCAGCTGCATTGTGAGCCCGTACCCGTATTTCGTATTCAGCGTAAGGAGTCAGGCGCGATACTGTCGCTTCTTCACCCTAATCACGAGAATACAATTACACGGGGCATAGAGATCGATAATAATAAAACGTGCTTTGAAACATTTACTTATTTACAAATTAACTTTTATCTCAGAATCAATAAAATTGAGTTTTTTCGTAGCGGTCGTCAACGTCCGTAGCATGCTACGTAATATTTATGACTACGACGTAGGTGACGTAGATGATTTCAAAACATTTAGACTAAATTACACCTAACCTTAGTTTTTTGTTCCTTATAGTGCGTTATACGCTCTGAGCGGATAGGAGCGAGACCGAAAAATGTGTTGAAACTTTTTTCCTACACGCCAGTTGGCGCGTAGACGATCACATATTTTTCATATTTCATACGATTATATATAGCAAACGTTTACCAAAAAGCGAAAGGAACTTCGTTCTTATCGGGGTTCCATGGACCCCTCACGCCGTTTTTGTTTTGGTAAAAAAATAGTTTTACACATTTTATCAACTTTCTGCATCTTACTTACCAATGTTTATATACTTGTACATACCTGTACATGTTAAGCAAAAACGTTCAACTTTATTATGACGGAAAGTAATTCTCTTAGTATTTTAGGACCTCTTCTTGCAGTAGTTACTGAGGGGCTTACAAATTCAAGGACAAAACTTGAAAAATCTAAAATTACGAAAGCCATACTTTACCTGTAACCTCAAGAACGCGTCCTGTGTTGGTAGCATAGGATCCGCATCGCGTCTTGTATATTGCAATGTGTAATGGGTTAAAAGCCCTCCTCTTGCGTCGGGTGGGGGAGGCCGCCAAAGCACTCTGAGTGACGTTGAACCACTTGATACACACGTCACTCCTTCTGGGCTACCAGTTGGTGCTAATTAAAAAGACAATTTCTTGTTTATTTTTCTTTAAAACAGGTGACACTCAGAGATTTAAAACTTTTGACCATTCAGTCGATGCACTGCATAAGTGTCAAACAGTGTAGGTTGTATCTAGATCTTTCATATATTAGCATCCACACACACAGTTTCCAACAATACTAATTAATAGCTAAAGATGAGTTTCCTGAAAAAGAGTACCGTAGTCATTAACTTAAGCTAATGTTAAGTTCTTCATACAAAAACTTTCAATTGGGCAAACAAAATAATTTATTTGTGTTCCTTTTCTATATTCATAAAATACTGAGTCTAATCTAGTAGAAACGAAGGAGTAAAATAATTAAGCTCTCTTTTTAAAGACTTATCCTAAACTAGGCAAAGCCCGTGTCATGGTAACCAGGCTGTTTATAAACATATTATAGATAAAAATACACTCAGAAAGAAAATAATAAGCCCACTACTCATTAAACATTTGTTGATCCTCGAAATCGAACCCAATAAATAAATGGAATATTTATTAAAAAATGTTTCAGAAGAAAAAAATATAAAACGTTTTTTTGATTCATGGAAATTGCACCTTAAAGACGAATAGATTAGATTTACTATTTTGCGCATGAATAAATAAGAATTAAACAAACGCATAATATGAAAAGTGCCATCAATCTGTACAGAATCATTTGACCTAGATCGAAAAAGGCCACAGCTCAATTAAGCCATTTTGCATTTTGATAGGAAAATTTACGATCGTCGCTTCACGTCGATAGCGCTCAGTTATTTACGCCACTACGACTAAACTTCCTTTGTTGGACTTTTGACTTCAATGCTTCTGTCGTGGATTGCTAGGAGCAATCAAGATAACGATTTAGTATCCAACTTTAATACTATATTTTCGTTTAAGGAGTTAAGTATAAAAAAGAGACAACTGAACAGCTGTTTCCTCTTTGATTTAATAACCATTGTGATAGTACTACAATCACGTAATTATAAAACTTCATATAAATGTTATTTTAAACAAGTGATGTTAGAAAGTTATCTACACGTGCATTTAAGGTCTAGACGAACAAAAAGCAGACCCTAATAAATAAGTGAACTTTATGATCTCAAGTATTGCGAAGTGGATGACGGCCCATTATGAACAAAAGACTTATTGCGTTCTTAAGACGAATACCATAAAAAAGGGATAGCCAGGGGTCCACGATAGCAGTTAAAAATAGGCACATGTGCAAGACAGCACACGAATAAGCGTGAGAAAAGCCCTTAGTTAGGAGTCATTTTGGGAACGATAAGGAATAAGGAACGGGCAGTTGATCTGAAGGCGTAGGACAAGACGGTCGGTGTTAGGAGCTAGGAGGCGGAGGTTGATCGTCAAAAGCTAAACGTGCTCGGACGTGCGTATTGCAGCTAGATTGAGTAAGTTAAATATATAGAACGTTGAGGACCACTAGGTGAGTCTTTATTGGTTATTATGTTTTAGGATTAATATATTATACGTATCTATATTCCGGTCAGAGTAACGTAGTAATAGTTGAGTAATTAGATGTAGTGTCACTGTTTAATTAACTTAAACATTTGGTATTGGTTAAGGTACCTTTGAATGTGTGATAGAATGATTAATGACCCTTTATAGGTCTCTTCAGTGTGGTGAATCGATTTATAGCTGAGGTGAGGCCACCCTGGGATGACACCCAGGCCGCTGTCATTGCTATACGGTTATTCTTCGGTGACCCGTTATTGTGGAGTATTTATGATGTGGTTGATACATGCCGTGTGCTTGAGTGAAGGGCGTTTTAATGGGCGGATCCTGTGGTCGGCTTACGGGAAAGCGCTGATGCTGTTGATGAATTGATGGAGATCGAGCGGTCCGAGTCCGCCGTCGGCGCATGCGTTGTGTCCGGTAGCATAAGGGTTAATGCCACATCAGACGAGCAGTATTCACGTGTCTGACCTTGCGGCCTTGACCATTCAGTTGTAGAAGTTGATTGACTCACTCTAAGCTTAAGCGCACAATGAATGGAATTCTGATGAGCAATCACAACCAATACCAATTGTATTTAATTATTTAATTTAGACTTTGATTCCCTCTTACCGCGGTCTTTTGTTGTTTATTCGAACGTTAAAAGCCAGTGGGAAGATGTCCAGTCAGGGTCGGGTCTTACAGCCTAACGCGGAAATTGGAGGAGCGTTAGACCTCCCCCACAGGGAGGGGAGCTGGCTACGTGTTTAATAGTTGAAAAACTGCTTTACTCAGGCTAGGGTATTTGCGGTACCATCACATATGGTGCCGTGACCAGGATCCTCGTCATTAAATGTACTGAACCGTAATTATTACGTCAGTGCAACGAGGATGAACTGAATTTGGTTACTACATACACAACACAACGTAAACAAATTACATCATTGGCCACAACTTAGTTTATATTCCATTTTATTGTTTATTTTAGTATAAAATACTTATGCGTTGATATATATTACAATATATGACCGATAGATGATAATACAATATATGATGTATTGCATACTGTATTATGACAAGGTACTAGTATTAAATATTTATACACGTGGATATATAATTTAAATTTTTAACACGGTTATACTGTGTTAAATTTACTTGTGCCGCACTATGCAGAAATCTGCTGTGTTAGGATAGTTTGTATTAGAACAAGATAGCTAGTTTTCTGATACTTAATTTCTTAAGTTCTAGGATAAATACGTGTAATTCTAAGTTAGATATAATTAATTTAGCTCATAGCTAAGTATAATTTAGAGTATACTCGTAATAAAATGTGATTTGTAATGTGTGATTTCTGTACCGTATTTGTTTCATTGTGCACTGGTTGGTTCACTGTACTAATTGACTATGATTTCATTTCTATTTATTTCTGAATATTATTGGGTTCGACTCCCGAACAGGAAAATTTATATGTAATATTAACAATATAACTAAGATTAACGCGCATATTGTGTACATGCTATCGCTTTAATTTAAATAAATTTGCAGAGGTTATTGGGTTCGACTCCCACATAGACATCCTGTATATTTAAAGAACGACATTACACAAAATAACGATTAAAACTAAATGTATTTAATCGAGTGTATCGTGTATCTAGATTTCAATTATTTTAATTGTAGGGGTTATTGGGTTCGATTCCCAGACAGATATTCTACTTGTGTTAAGAATTATGAAAATACAGAGACAGATTAATGTGATCGCGTATACTTCCGTGTACTTGATTTCATTTATATTTAATCGTAGGGGTTACTTGGTCCAACAGTCGGACACAATATTATTGATGTGTAATGACAAAACATAAATATGGAAAAACATTATGTGTGTGCAATTGCTTGTACATTGTATTCGGATTTCATTGAGTATCTAACGTTAAATGGAATTATTTTACCGGGTTCCACACCAGGCAGACTAATTTAATAGATGTAATGTTAAAAGACCAACAAACGTTTTATAATCATTTTGTAAGGGGGGAATGGAATTTACGGTGTACTCCAATTTATTTTCTTAGTTTATTTCTATATTTCTGTTGGGTTCGATTCCTAGTCAGATACGTTTTACATGTAGGCATTACGATAGATATCATCGGACGTACAATACTCGTAATTTGAGGGGGGAATAGAATGTATTGTACCATAAACAGATCTATTACTTGGTATAACTTACTGAGTTCAATACTCAGGAGGAAAAAAAAAGGTAATTGTGCCCAGCGGAATACATTTGTATAAACAATAGATTATTTTGTTGCGTGTCGGAAATATGCAGTCAAGTTAAACACGTGGTAAGGGTCGATCGGAAATACAATACTCATTTAAAGACAATGCTGTACCCGTTGCAGCTGGGAACAGAAGACATAAAAAAAAAAAAAAAAAAAAAAAAGACAGTTAAGTCATTAGCTTTCAGGCTGTCTTTGCAGAGTCGGTTAAACAACTGTCGGTTGTTTCTATTATGGTTACAATAGATGAAACCTTGATTCGTAGTGTAATATGTATAATTAATACTTAATTATGAAAAAAAAAAAAGGAGACAAAGTGTTGACTAAAGTTGTTGATGGTAACACAACAGCAAAATACTTAATAAAGGGATATACCATTTGAATCTCATATTCATGTTGATGGATCTCGGGATCAATTGAAGTATAGTAGGTCGAAACCTTTCTAAGAAGAGGCCTATGTCCAGAAGTGGACTAGGTTGTTGATGATGATGATAATGAATATAGTGATGTGAGTAATGTATGTATAAGTATGTTACGAATAAAGTTGCTAAACTGGTTGATGACTAATGTAGCATCGGTTAGCGCAGACTGTTACGGGTTAGACTCCCGCACGATACGATGATGGATAGTATAATCTAAAAAAGTATCACATGAAAGTAAGCAAGAATTAGTTAGAGTATATAGAGAGGCCAAGCACGGTGCATTAGACTCGGGATAGAAAGGTGATTAGATAAAAAGTCAGAATAATAATAATTGATTTGTTAATTGTGTATGAATACATAGAGGTAACAATCTCGAAACGTTAGACGCAGGCGATGATAATGAAAAGTTAATTAAGCAGAGTTAGACTAGTAACTATTTATTGGTCGACGTTTATGAATATGTGGAGGTAATACTCTCGGGACCTTAGACAGAGGTGCTGACGTCACTAACTTTGTCGATGTAAAAAAAAAATATATATTAAAATAATATCTGATAGATATCTAAGAATATGGTAATTTTGATGCCACGTGTAAATACTGTGGAAATCAATTCGTACAAAACAAATCCTCTGCTGTGGTATTATCACGTTTCAGTAATTGTGGATATTGCGTATATGCGACGTGAACTACTTGTTGGGAGTGGCTACTCTTCGTGACTGCAGGCTTAGAATATAAGCGAGGTTGCAGTGAAAGACAGGCAGAGCGACGTTGAAAACTAAAAAGAGGCGGGGCGATGGTGAAATTAAGGTCTATTATGAAGGTGCTGGTTCATAATGAGAGGCGTGCAGGTTAACTGTATATGGTAACATTTGTTATTACTTAAAACATCGAGGTATGTAAGCTTATTATTATTTAGTGCCAGAAAACGGTTAAGCAAATATTATGTACTATAAAATTTAATGATACTGCTATTGTAAAGCAATTAATTGAATTATTACAAGGTACCACTTTGGTCAGTTCTATTTGTGAGAAACGGAAGGAGTATAATGTAGCAAAACGGGATGTGGAGATAATTCAGGAACGACTTCATATTGCTATGAATGTTTAATTTAAGAACATATATGGAATTCTCTGTAATGATTTTGACAATTCACTAACATACTAATAACAGAATCGTCACTTGATAAGATTCTAGCGGGCCTTATAAGAATAAGCCACTAGGTCTAACTTATTTACGCTTGCTCTAAATCAAATTACCAGGACTTATAAGAATAAGCCCTTGGGTCTATCTAACTTATACCAATTATTTATGAATTTGCCAGGACTTATAAGAATAAACCACTGGATATATCTAACTTATACCAATTATTTATGAATTTGCCAGGACTTAAAAGAATGAGCCACTGGATCAATCTAACTTATACCAATTCAATATGAAATTGCCAGGACTTATAAGAATAAGCCACTGGGTCTATCTAACTTATACCTGTTTTATATGAAATTACCAGGACTTATAAGAATAAGCCACTGGGTCTATCTACTTATACCTGTTTTATATGAAATTACCAGGATTTATAAGAATAAGCCACTGGGTCTATCTAACTTATACCTGTTTTATATGAAATTACCAGGACTTATAAGAATAAGCCACTGGGTCTATCCAATTCATACCTGCTCTATATGAAATTACCAGGACTTAGAGGAATAAGCCGATGGGACTAACTTACTTATACTTATTTTACTCAAAAATAATAAATCAAATGGACCAGTTTACCACATTCTAATTTGTTAAAATGGACATAACTAGTCAAATCATATGAGACTTATCACAAATCAAAATCTACCTAACTAACAAAATCAAAGCCTACCATTGGTATCGAGTGTGCTAAACGTACTCAAATACTACAAAACCACTCCTATCACCCCATCTACTGCCACGCTATAGTGGAAATTTACCAAAAACTTATCAACGAAATATTCCAATACAGCGGTTAGTTCTAGATGAACCAAAAACTGCTTGGAAAGGATCCTGACATTATTGGGTTTGAAGGTGTGAGGTAGAGCCTGGGACGTGACAGCCAAACCGATTTCCAAATGTGTAGAGAACCATGGATATATACAACTACAACAAATCATACGATTTGCTAAGTTAAAGAAATTTTAACAAAGATCTGATACAATCACTGTTCTCGAGTTAAAGTTAAGTGAAATCCCATACGCTTCGATATATTCTTCGCGTCTGAATTTCAGGGGGGAAAATGTGATAGTACTACAATCACGTAATTATAAAACTTCATATAAATGTTATTTTAAACAAGTGATGTTAGAAAGTTATCTACACGTGCATTTAAGGTCTAGACGAACAAAAAGCAGACCCTAATAAATAAGTGAACTTTATGATCTCAAGTATTGCGAAGTGGATGACGGCCCATTATGAACAAAAGACTTATTGCGTTCTTAAGACGAATACCATAAAAAAGGGATAGCCAGGGGTCCACGATAGCAGTTAAAAATAGGCACATGTGCAAGACAGCACACGAATAAGCGTGAGAAAAGCCCTTAGTTAGGAGTCATTTTGGGAACGATAAGGAATAAGGAACGGGCAGTTGATCTGAAGGCGTAGGACAAGACGGTCGGTGTTAGGAGCTAGGAGGCGGAGGTTGATCGTCAAAAGCTAAACGTGCTCGGACGTGCGTATTGCAGCTAGATTGAGTAAGTTAAATATATAGAACGTTGAGGACCACTAGGTGAGTCTTTATTGGTTATTATGTTTTAGGATTAATATATTATACGTATCTATATTCCGGTCTGAGTAACGTAGTAATAGTTGAGTAATTAGATGTAGTGTCACTGTTTAATTAACTTAAGCATTTGGTATTGGTTAAGGTACCTTTGAATGTGTGATAGAATGATTAATGACCCTTTATAGGTCTCTTCAGTGTGGTGAATCGATTTATAGCTGAGGTGAGGCCACCCTGGGATGACACCCAGGCCGCTGTCATTGCTATACGGTTATTCTTCGGTGACCCGTTATTGTGGAGTATTTATGATGTGGTTGATACATGCCGTGTGCTTGAGTGAAGGGCGTTTTAATGGGCGGATCCTGTGGTCGGCTTACGGGAAAGCGCTGATGCTGTTGATGAATTGATGGAGATCGAGCGGTCCGAGTCCGCCGTCGGCGCATGCGTTGTGTCCGGTAGCATAAGGGTTAATGCCACATCAGACGAGCAGTATTCACGTGTCTGACCTTGCGGCCTTGACCATTCAGTTGTAGAAGTTGATTGACTCACTCTAAGCTTAAGCGCACAATGAATGGAATTCTGATGAGCAATCACAACCAATACCAATTGTATTTAATTATTTAATTTAGACTTTGATTCCCTCTTACCGCGGTCTTTTGTTGTTTATTCGAACGTTAAAAGCCAGTGGGAAGATGTCCAGTCAGGGTCGGGTCTTACAGCCTAACGCGGAAATTGGAGGAGCGTTAGACCTCCCCCACAGGGAGGGGAGCTGGCTACGTGTTTAATAGTTGAAAAACTGCTTTACTCAGGCTAGGGTATTTGCGGTACCATCACACCATTACTAATTAGGAGGCATTCTAGATCAGTTAGATTAAGTATTTAATAAAATTAAAAATAGTAAAAGTTGGTTCAAGACTGTACTTACTTATGTTTGAATAGTAACAACATGACATTGTGTACAAGCATTATTTTTAACATTCTGTAACAACTTACGTGACTCTAGTGTATATCGATAGTGTGGCGGCGATAGAGGTCCAGTCCCCGCAGCATTGTAAGACCGAATTGTTACGCCATATCTCGTGGCTGCTTTCAAACCCCTCAAAGTAGTACTCGTTGCATCTGCACTAGCCCCGCTTTCAGATCCTGGGCTATCACTTAATGTCCCTTTACCTTCAGCTGAGACTTCCCACCATCGGATTGTATATCCTAGTAATGTGCCATGCCAGGTCTCGCGAGGGGGCGGCTAAAATAATAGGCCCTGATTTCATTTATATTTATTTTCATTTATTTTTATTTATAAGCTTAACAACGTTAGTTATTACTTTTCAGGACTAGTTAGTTCATATCATGATTAATGTGATCTTTAGCCAAATAAAGTTGTTGTTGTTGTGAAGTCAAAACTAAAATGATTTGTTTGGAGTTTTGTATCTGGTTGCTAGTTATTCAGCATAGGTGCTAGTTATTACGCTAGATTGCTTACAAGATGGCTTATATATACTAAAAAACAACCAAACACTACTTACGTATTATTATACTATTGTATTAACAGGTTTGCCAGTCAAAAAGTGAGAAGAGATCAACTTATATATGTATACCTAAATATACCATAACTTATAAATGTAAAAAGTACTGTAAAATTGATGTACACATAATTGTGTAAGTACTTTAAGACATGATAGGTTTCTCGAAGAAGTTAAATAAAACTAATTTTTACAGGGTGCTTCAAGATATATTATGACTTCCACTTATTGCAGATAACTTTAACATGGATCGTGAACTATACCAGCTGTTACATTAGGTGAACAGCTGTGAAATATAATATTCAAAATTTCATATTCAAACTCATACACGATTTATGGCTTAATAAGTACGAGTATGTTCAAGTTTCGTCAATATAGTATTTTCTGAAAGCTATGCGATTTTTTTTTATAAAATAAATTTCAGAAAAATCCCAAATCTTAATTTGGTAATCAAATCTAGGTCTAATTTATATAACACTAAACTATATGTTATGCTTACCAGCCAAGTAACATGCAACTCACGAGCTCGAAGCGCTCTCACTGTTATGTCACGGGGTGCTCCTCCGGGCGCTTTAGAAAAATGTGGTTGTTACGTAAACAAGTCAGAAACAAACTACAACAACTGTTATTTTAAGAGAACATTACATTTAAAACTAGAAAGTGGTGTCTCAATCAATTTTAACTTCATTCATGGTACTGGCTGTTCAGATGTTTTCACCTATGGGACACAGTAATTTTAAGACAAACTGTTATAAAAGTCTCTTTAATGAACACGCGTTTTGCTTTACTCCTAACTCAAATCAACGTCAGTCTTAACTTCTATCATTTGATTGTGATTTTGCGAAATGATCACAATGTTAGTGCTTCATAGTAACCAACACGATTAATTCCATTTTCTGCCAAGTATTGGACTATTCTTTAGTCTAAATGCGGAAACCTGAACCCACCACCAATACCTATCTGTCAAGTATTGCACGTGGAAAGATGAATAAGTATAGTGAAAATTTTATTATTTATAGGTGAACATGACACATTGAGTGATACGTAGAATATTATTGCTACGATGATTCCTTTAAACTACAACGTTACATAGTAAATTTATTTTTACGTGATAAACTACTAAAGCGCTAAATATTTATAAGCCTAGAAAATCGTAATACCTTCTTCACGTGTAGTAAAGTGTAGTGGTGTAGTGTAAGGTGAGGCACCGACGTCGTTGAAAGCGGCCATGCGCAGTGCATATCGAGTATCAGGCGAAAGACCAGCCACCGCTGCACCCGCACGTCCTGGGCCTTCTGACCTGTTTTAGATATGTAAAAATAGTCTTGCGTTATATGTTCCATCAGCTGTGCCGTAAAAGTTTAATAATATCACAAAAAAATAACATTGGCTAAAAGTTTGAATCCTCCATAAATAATATGCAATTTGATTTCAAAAAATTTGTAGCCTTTAATACGTGGCTTAGTTGAGTATTGTGTAAAAGTAGAAACGTACAATATTAAAAGCCATAATTTACTTTCTTGCTCGAAATCTGGCAGAAGCCTTAATAAAATTCCCGTCAAAATCTGGCCGTAAATGGAATCTTGTAACCAAAAATGAAGCGCATGTACAGAAAGACACATCAAGACTGAAAGATTTAATAAAATCAAAAACTAAATAAAGGAAGAAACTTTTAATGTAATTTCTTGTTTGTTCAAACAATTTACTAAAGTTCCCCAGAAACTACTTATTTATCTTCCTTATTCATTATTTAATGCCGTCAGGAAGTTGAAACTGTCGGTATATTTAGAGTTCATAAGTCAAATTGAAATCTTTCACAATGTTATCCTTCGTCAAATCTATACTGCTTACTTCTTAAACAAACACAAAGTTCTTCATTTAAAATGTAAGTACTTTTGAAGAACATCTCTATTTATTAATAAAATTAAGAGCATCTCTATTTATTAATAAAAGCCTCAATTACGAAACCACTGTACAATTTTGACAATGTCACTTGTGCGTCGCCCTTAGTGACGATAAATGAAATACAATTTATAGAGTAACTGGCAAATAAAAATGTATTTTTTCAAACTCCTTTGAATACAATGAAGGAACAATTGGCTCGACTACGATTTCTTAGAGTTTGGCAATTTCGAAACCTGCAAAAGGTCGCTGGTTTATACTATTATTTAAATCCGAAGGTCGTCTTGTTGAGAAGAGCCCTCCGTAATAGAAAAGTTTACTTATTCAGGCTCGTATTATATTAGTTATTTCTTACAGTAGTGTTATATTATCAAAGTATTGAATTGAATACGATTGACAAACAAATGCTGTATTTATAAGGTTATTTTAAGTTAGTCTTATAGTTGATCAGTGTGTCACGGTAAAACAGATGTGATAAAGATTTAAGATATTTTTTTTATCTTTTGTATATTTAAAAATATAATTAATATGTTTATATAATGTAATGAAGAGAATAATAATAATAATATCTCACACATCTCACACACAGTCGTCTGAACCCAAACAAGGCAGATCCTGTACTATGGTTACCAGACTGCTGATAAACATACTTATATACCTTTATATACATAAATATTATAGATAAATTTCACCCAGACACAGAACAAATGACCGTGCTTATCGCACAATATTTGACCCGGGTGGAAATCGAACGACCTCCGGCTCAGCAGTCAGGGTCACTAACCACTAGTGGTTAGTGTTGGTCTAGACCAACAGGCCCGTCAACAAAGCCAAATCAAAAAGCGATTTTTGTACTGCTCTTACTTTTAACTACTAATTAATTTATTTTATTTTAAGGCATAAGAGGGCAGACGAGCAGACGGGTCACCTGATGGTTAGTAACTACCGCTGCCCATGGTCAGCTGGACCATAAACTTAAACTTAAGCTAGCCGAACTAAAAAGTAGGAAATAATTTTATATAAGTTCAAAAATAGAAAACATTTATCGTTAAACAGCGTAGGGTACTTTTCAAGGTATTTTATAATATAATAACTTTGCTTCTATCAATATCTATCGGTAAAGTTTTTTAAAACAATTCAAATCTGTCAACCCACGCTTTTTCTTTTTAAACTTAATTGAAAAAGAAACCCTACTATTTAGTTCGGCTAGCTACAAAAGCGTGTTTTTTTAGTTTTTTAAACTCTAATTTCCTATTATCACCATAAGGAACGTCTGGCGATTCCATATACAGAGACTGGACTCGAAAGCTTGGAACAACAATGGACTTCAGTTAACAACACTCATACGCAGATAGTAAGTTATGTAAAACTTTCATATTTATATTTACATTTTTTGTTCTTTGTTTCATATTCAAGTTAAACTATTTTATGCACTATTTCATTAATGATTGAGTGCGGCAAGTGATTAACTTTGTTCACAGCAACCTTGCCGAGTGTAATAAAAACAAAATTAAGTTATACAATATTTACGAAAATATTAATTGGGTAGATATTAATTTTTTAAAGGCGAGTTTTACAAAGAGTTATAAAAATTTAGTAATCCCTACCGGCCTTCAAGTAATTAAACTTTAAATTCACAGCAACTGTTTTAGCAGGATCCGGCACTTATTTTCATTAGAACTTGAAATCGCAGATGTAATTACTTTTAAACATTTTGGCCTAAAACAGAAATAAACTGTAACAACACGATACAAATTTTGTTTTAGAATCTTATCTATTTTTAGGATTAAATAAAAAATGATTTATCTTTTTAGATGGACTCTGGCATTTTTACACTTTATTAACGTAGTATTTTCTTAGTTACATTTCTAGATTTATGAAGAAGTTAAACTATATCTTTCTCCGTTTTTTTACTACGAGTGAAGTAAGTTCTCCGGAAAATAAGGTATATACCGCATTTATAGTTTCAGTTAAATGGGGCCAAATAAATTCTGAACCAACATAGCAGACTCAACAAACCCAAAGACATTTAGGCTCTCTTTACCGCACCCACGCCAGTCATAATAAAGTAGGCAAATAAATAATACCGTTTAATACTTTAATGAGTTGTACAATTTCGTTAATCGTTAAATCCTATCTATTTTATATACGTTCATAAACCAATACTTATTAATTACACGAATAATCATAATTGTATGTTAAATTCCTGAAAACATAAATGCTATACAGTTATCTTTCACTTCACTAAATTCCTGGTAAAGTATCTCCTCTTTTGTTGTAACATTACTAGGATTTGAAATATCTAAAAGGTTTCCAATACTTATCAATCGATGTTACGGGTAATTGGTATTATTTTAGGAATTAACTTAGTCCGAACAGAGATTAGATTAGGTTACTTTAGCAAGGTAACTTTAGCATCTATTCGTACTAGCAACGTTACTACCTCTATCCGTAATTCAATTAATTTAACGTAACACAACTTTTACGACTGTTCAAACTTTAACGAAAGAGGTTTGTTAATGTGTGCAAACTTACGCGACGTGAAGTAAATCTGAATTAGCCAATGTGAGGTTGAGGACGTCTTGTGTTTCCCAGCTGTCGAGGAGCGGGGGTAACGGTGCGTCTAAGGAGGAGTGTGACAAGTCGCGTGTGAGTGCGCGGTACTGCAGCGAGTAGTGGGATACAAGCGCACCTCGCGTAACACGCCATGTCACACGAGCTTTACGTGACCACACTTCTGATACTCGTACTTCTTCAGGGACGCTGGGACGTTCTGTGTGGAATAGAAAACATATCAGATTGCCACTTTCTTAACTATTTCTAATATCAGGAAATCCTAATATATTGAGATTCCAATTGTTACACAACCATCTGATCTGCTGATCATTTGAGCCACGCAATAAAAGAACGGTTAGATAATAAAAAGTCTCTACCCTGTCACGGAGAGCACGTAAATATGTCGGGCCGGCTATCAAGAACATCTGCGACACTCGTTATGGGGAGTCAGTACCTACCCTTAATTATCCTCACTAGTTCTACCGTAGATTACATATCATTATCCCTTTTTACTTCCGGAGGAAATAGGAGATATTTGTATGTATTTTACCCACCGGTTTTAGTGCATTAGTGTGTTTGACTAATAGTCAACAATAGCTATATTTATTTATGTAATAATTAATTAATTAATAAAATGAAGTAATGAAAAAGTGCTATATTAGTATAGACTAAAACAGCACTTTATTCATCACTTTATTTTATAAGGCCAGGCATTAGGTTTTTTAAATACAAACGTACGACCACTTTGAGTATTTTATACTTACAAAGATAAACAGATAACATACAACGTGGTACAATAATATCACAAGCCAGTACAACTTGTCTGAAACGTCAGGCAATTTAAAGCTATATAATACCTATTACGTAATCATGTTAGTTATTTTTTGTATACACAATTACATGTACCTACATCATGGAACGCGAAAATTTAAAACTTTGTAAAAAAAATGTTTTTCTTTCTTCATTGTTGGAAATACATTTTTTAATGTGATCCCATCATTTTTCCTTAATATTTTTGTTATTTATTTATTTATTTATTTTTACACTTCCTGCATTACAGTTTGCACGAGGCGGACTTAATGCCACATGGCATTATCTACCAGTCAACCTTAAGATGGTTCAGTAAGGGGCATGGCAGGTGCACATATATTATGTAATAAGAAGAGAAGCTATGAAAATATAACATTAATTTGATAATACTATTTGAAAAAGATAGACGAATACATAGATAACTATTAATATATTATACATACGGAATATAATAAATACAATAAAGTTTGGGTGACGATATCATGAGGATATTTCTGCTAGCTGTTTCCTGTACAATTCGCGGACTTTAGCTTTCAACGTGTCACGACTTCCTGACATCCTGATCTCAAGCGGGAGCGCATTCCATAGTAGGATAGACTGGACAGCAAATGAAGAATGAACAAGAGAAGAAGTGTGGATTGGATTCAAGAGTAAATGATTATTAGTGGACCGAAGATCTCTGTCATGGTTGGAGCATAGCGGTTTAAGCTGTGAAGTGAGATAAGTGGGAGCTGTAGGATTATTAAAAGGTTGATTGGGTAGATTTGAAGGTCATCCGCATACAAATGATACGCACACCGAAGATCGAGAGTAATAAGATTGATAAACATCGAGAATAGGAGAGGAGATAAAATACCACCTTGCGGAACGCCAGCAGCAAGATCACACCAACGAGGATATGATATGAGGATATGAGGATAGATATGAGGATATCGTGGTTGACTGTGTTAAAGGCGTTGGAGAAGTCAATCAGGATTAGAATAGTAACTTTTGCGTCTTCCACACCATTTCTAATATCGCTGGTCATTTTAAGCATAGCTGTAACTGTGCTATGTCCAGGTCTGAATCCTGATTGAAGTGGGCTGAGGATATTGTTTTGGTGGATAAACTTGGAGAGTTGTTTATGAACACACGCCTCTAGTACTTTGGATAGGAAAGGGAGAATTGAAATGGGTCGGAAATGGCTCGGTAGGGAAGGATTTGGAATCTTTGGAAGAGGGCGAACGTATGCGCTGCGCCATGCGGCTGGAAAGTGTCTGGAGTAAAGGGAGAAGTTGATTATATGGGAGATTGCACAGCTTTAGATGTTATTTTTAGGATTGTTTTTTTGATCTCGTCCGAGGCAACTGGAGAAAACGAGAAGGCTTCGATATCCCGCCGCGCAAGCCCGGTAACATAACCGAGAGTTTGACCTTTGGTTTGGGACGGCATTATGGCAGATGTGGTGAAATGAAGATTCATGTCGTCCAAGCCAACAGTCACAGATGAAATTGGATGCTGAACCTTACCTACACCGAAAGTCCTAAGGAACTTCCAGATACCGGCCGGCGTGGAGGAAGAAATGTTCAGGAGAATGTGGTGGCGTTTGGCGTTGCGTATCATTTGATTGCATCTGTTTCTTGCGGTTTTATAGATGGTCCAATTGGTCTCACAGCGATCTTTCCTAAATTTACGAAAGGCCCGGTCTCTACGGCGCATCGCCATACGGATACCCTCGGTTAACCAAGGTGCTGGCTCGTGTTTCATCCTGACCTTCTTCACCGGTGCATGCTTATCGTATAACTTGTGAACAATATCATTAAACATTTGAACCTTGCCATCAACAGTATGTTAATAACTGAATGGAATCTAAGAAACTTAAATAAAAAACTACTTAAAATGTTTACGTAGATCAACACCATTTATCATTCGATGTTTCCAACATCGATTCGACCTAATTGGTTTACGTCGCAACGAATGCACAGCAGTAATCATTAAATCGGACTACGGGTGGTTAAACTGCACACTAATTCTAAATTTAGGCTTTATTAGTACATTTATCATAATTTGCAAAGCGAAAGTAAGGACAGTTCAAACGTAGTCACAAATTTATAAATTATCAAATTTATAAAATATATTTTCCTGCATTAAACTTTGACTTTTGTGTCCACTTACACTGACTATTTTAAATACGTCTATATATTTTATTTTTGTACTCGTAATGTACTGTATTGTACACTTAATATCTTAGTAATCTCTCTCTCTCATTTTGTTTTTAAAAACTTTTAATTATTTCTTGAATATTGTGTGTTTTCAAATAAGATTCATAATATTATTACCTTGTACTCATAGTAAATTTTCAAAACGTAACACGCCGATCACAAAATGTAATCCTGTTGTATTTTGTGAACATAGTTCATATAAAACATAAGATAAGGGATAAAATTAACATGGGATAATTCCTGTAATACTAGGAAAACAGACAGACACTTATAGTGGCGTTTGATCCTAAAAAAACATTTTTAAGTCTGATAATATATTACCTCAACGACGAACGAGACAAGCCCTAAATTAAAAGATAACCTTCTCCTGAACAGATACATTTAACTAAATAAAGAATAAACTAAAAGTTAGAACTCTACGAATTACTAAGGTAAAGCCGAGCTTATTGTCATACATTTTATTCGTCCAATTTACATACAAGGGTTAATAATAAAACCCATCTGACAGCGGTTTATAGTGAGTATTCAGTATTATCAGGCCCCGCATTACATTTTATGGTCCTCGTAGTGCAGAACGACGGTGGGCCAAACGCGTAGAGCATTGTGAACAGCACCCACGAGAGAGAGAAATTATTTAAATAACTGTAATTACGGTTAAAAAATATCCGCGCTTTACTTGTAGTTTGCTTCTGAGAGTATGCAGTTATAAGCAATTCTTGTAATCAAAATAATCCTGTCGTGGAGATATTAATCTGCGATTATATTCGTATTTGATAAGTTATGAGTAACACTAAGGAAGAAAGAAGAATATGGGCAGCACTACTAACGACTTCAACAAAGCTCAAACTTGTTAGAAAATGAATTGGCGTCTATTAATAATGAAATTACAAATTCTGCACAGCCTCAAAGTACCTAAAATCTATTTTAACTATTCAACGGAACAAATTGGACTGCGAAAATACACGTAGAAATTGAAACAATGCATCAATAGTATGTAGGTTTTCGGATATTGGAGTGTATCAAAAGACTTTTTAAATATTTTATTTGCTTAGTTACCATATTCAAATCTTTCGTAGTATCCTATACATATCCCTAACAAAGAGTAATAGATTTATTGAAATCCAGTGGTTGCGATTACGTATAAATAGGTATATTATATAGCTTCAACTGTCAAGCAGGATCAATTGCTAAATAAATAAAGAATACGCTGGACTGCCTACTACTACAGCTTAGTGACGGCATATTTAGTCACGAAAATGTTCAGTTGGATTAGAATCACGTTTCATACATCGACGATAATTAACCAAGCATTGTACTCCATTTATTTGGGATAAAATATGACGAGTTTTTGCAAGGAGTGTAAAGAATAGTGGTTTTTATAAATCCATAAATTATTGGCATCACCATTGCTTGATCAAATCGGTTCTGTACTTATTCACTTGTTACAAAACCAACCGGTATGGTAACAAGTGAATATGTACAGCGCCTTATTACTCTGTTTATAACTGCTGCGGCTCTATACTTTGTAATACACCGAATAACACAAATATAAATAACTGTACATAGCGACTGCTCTAGTTGCTAAGTTTATCGAGTTATATAAACAATTCAATTCATTCTATTCCATAATTGTATTAAACCTGACCTAAGTCTTATAAAATGATTGTATATTTGACGATTACAATACGAATACCTATTCAATGGCAGTAATTTAAGACCAGCGAGGGAACAAATGAACGAATGACAATGAATATTCAATTTATTAAAGCTTTAATCCAAGATTCCATAATTAAGTACTTTATGTTATGTAAATGAATTATTTTATTTGTTTTACATCTTTATGCACTTTGTACATCGGCGGACTTAATGCCTTGGGTGGTGTAGAAATCTTATAAGGTAGGTGCACCGATATTACCATTGTAATCACTGAAAATAAATATATTTTTAATCAAAATATAATAAACTAACTTACATATATTATACAATTACAAATATATAAAAATAAATATACATCATCATCATCATCATTAGCCTATCGCAGTCATATTCTAAAATCTAAAAAAATTCTAAATTCTAAATACATATTCTTCATGTATGTACACTGTGAAATTGAAGAAATACGATAAAGATAATATGTCGTGAACAGCTAAAAAATTCGAATAAATTGAAAATAAAATCCGTTGAAAATGTGAGTTTTCAATTAATTGAATAGTAACCAAACAAGTCTTTTAACTTATATAAGAAAAGAAAATGAAAATATTTAATTTAAAAGTTGTAGATAATGAAATATATTAACCTAAAATTGATACTATAATTGAAATGTCTGTCTGAACGACTGAGTCTAAACTTCGTAGACACGATGTTGAGTGCTTTTGATTGTTAATAAATTATTCCCCTGACATAACTACTTCGCCGGGTACTCGGTGAGGTGGTATCCGAGAGGTCCACAAGTAAAACAAAGAACATTTCAAACATACAGTAATAAACTGTTCGTGTATTCTCGTAAGTTCTTTCGTGCTATAAAAGGCACGAATTAGTCTGTTCAGTTCAGACCTGATATTTTGAGTCTTTAGCCAGAGTAATCGATATTACGGTTGTAAATTGACAGAATCTATAGGAATAATAAAAGCTTGGATTATTATATAGCTTTTATTTAAAACACACTCAGGCTAAAATGCAGTAATAAAATATTTACTACTCAACATTATATGTATAAAATAAATGTTGTTTGTTTCTTGTTGTTACTTTTATTTCTATCACATTTCACATTCATTATTTTTATTTATCATTTTTAAAGTAAATGAATTTGGATATCAAAATAATTTAAAAAAAAATTACTTACCTTTAACGAATAGTCGAAAAACAAGTTCGCCACTGCCATACAAGTTACGAGCGAGGCAACGGTACTCTCCAGCATGCTCCGGTCCTGCATGCGGTATTGTCACTTCTGACAACATTGTGCCAGAACCCGTATCCCTATTTTCAACTTCACCGGAACCACTACGAGTGAATAAATTGTGTTTTATTTCATTTAAACTTGAGTATTTTAAAGTACACAATCGTACTTTCAAACTAGCGCGTTTCATATTTGAATTGCTTGACGTATGTATAGTACAGTACATACCTGCACATTAAAGATGTTAAATCTTTAAGGTGCAAGTATGTTCTTAATACCTATCGTTAGCGCGCCAATTCCCGCAAACAAAATTAGATATATACAAACAATTATTGATTGGTTCATAGATATTAATTAATTTTTCTACTCTCTAAGTAACTTCAGTAGTAATATCTATGACAGCAATAAGATCAGTATTAAATTGATCATTGCGACAGTGATCCAGATTTAAACTTTCACTAACACTATACAGGATCAGATCCTTAACAGCAAGACCTCGGTAGGGTTGCTATTAACAATAATTTAATACAATTAGCTTAGCTTTGAAATCGATGGCTAGTAGCATTAGGAACCCATTACTTTTTGCGCAGTTTTGAAAAACAGTCAATGATAGGAGTATCGATGTACATACTCGTAGTATACAGGTACATATTTATAAATTGACTTGTGAATATTGTGGATGTGGATTCTTTCTGGTAAATATTATTCCTGGATAATTTAGTTATCAATCGGGTATCATGCGAACGGCAATTAAGATTAATATACAGCTTTATTTTATTAAATTTATTAAATATTTACTATTATAATTATGATGTACCTATGTATACTTATGTCTTCATGTTCTTCAGTCTTTTATTATTATTAAAATGACATATGGAACCTGTTTTTAACTGTTGGCGACTGTATAAAAGCATAAAATAATATTAAACACAGTGTGACAAATTTTCATAGGAATATAAACTCTATAGGTGGTTAGAAGCAAATAAATCACTTTAGACTTTGTGGTAAACTTAATTTATTGTCCAGTAATCAATCACGAAGTTTAGTGTAGCTAAACATTTACACTCGTGATGAATTAAATCTATTTAAATTATGTTCAGTTACTTTCAGCGTTTTGTGATATAATGTAGTAGTTACTTTAAATATTTGTTTTTATTTTGAACAAAATCCTTTAATTATGGCTTTGTCCTCAATTTTTTTTTGTGTCGATAGATATGGATGGAGTTTTAGCATTTTGTAAATTACCGGCAAGATATACATCAACACATCACATCAACAGCCTTTAATAGTCCACTGCTGGACGTAAGCGTCTCCTTAGAAAGGAGGTTTTGGCCTACTATACCACGCTGGCCAGACGGGTTGGTATAGAGATTGTGTCAAGTTTTCCTTCTCTCTGCAGAGCTGTTGTTCTGCGTAGTTTTCTCCCTTAGTCGGCTCTTACGACCCCCACGGGATGAATAGGGGTGGTAACACTCTGTATTCTAAATCCGTCACCACACGGACACGGCAAGATATAATTGTCAATGAAAAGTAATTTTAGTTACTGGCAACTGGTAACCAACTGGCATTGTTTTAATCAACAAAAAGCCATTACGTAACCAGTGGAATAAAAGATTGAGTTAAAAGATCCAATTACCGAATTAGAATTAGAATCAAAACCAAATTTAGTTGTGCTGTAATACTCATTTTAACAATTAACTCTTTATCACCATACATATGACTCTCATACAGTAAACTGATAACTGAAACAACAGTATCACATTACATTTTTTTAAACAAACTTTAAATACAGAATTGTATAATTATGTATAATGCGATCTCGGAATTCGTCATTGTGTAGTCACAGGTTAAGTTAGCCGCGTTATTTTCTGCAGACATATTTATATATGTACCGCCGTATATACTTATGTATATACGGCGATACGGGAAAGTTTGAAAGTTAAAAACTATAGAATTGGCTCAGGAACGTAATAAATGAAACATCGGTAACTCATATTACTATAATATAATTTATACTATACACAGTGCGAGGAGAATATTTCATATTAGGTGTGAGTACTTAATATCTAAAATTATCCCTATATACCCAACCCAAGCCAAGCAGGCTTATATTACACTCAAAAAAATAATATCTGGTCATTTAAATATCTGAATTCAATATCGTAATACGAAATTGACTTCTCAAGACTGCATACAATTGGATGTAAACTGAAGAAGTTTCATCATTCATGCGAACGGATTATTCATTCGTAATATAATTTATTTATATCTTTTCTGTGAGACTTTATTTTATTTATTTAATTTTTTTGATACAAACTGACAAAAAGTCTTAAGCTCTCTTCTTTTATAACCGTTTCTTTAATAGTTCTTAATATATATCAACTAAACACTTGTGAAAAAAGTGATTAGAAATGACTAAAACGTACTTACTGTAAAGCAAGAGGTCTAGAGTCGTGTGTCCAGTGTACGTGTATCTCCGGTTCTCCTCTTACTGTACAAGATAATATTGCTGTAGAGCCTCTCACTACCCATCGAGTTTCACCACTCCCACTTCTACTTAGTCTTGGCGGCTCTGTTATGCATGTAAATTAATTAATTATGCAGTACAAATATTACTATACTTATGATCTAATCGATATCTGAAATGAATGTCATAAAATTTTATTATCAGCGTCAAAACGGTTAAAAGAGAATAATGTTTTTTATCATTTCATGTACCAAGTAAAGTAATAAGTTTACAGGTAACCTCCCAATAAAGTACTAGTAATTAGAGCAAAACAACTATTCCTAAATATGGTGGGGAAAATGTTTTTAAGCATTTTGTGATGTAGAAGGTTACAAAGTATTGTGGCTATTCGATTACTGTTACGTATATGCATAGTGAAACCAAATTATATTGTGCATAAAATACATAAACTTGAGAACCTTTAGATTAACATTTCTTTGTAAAAACTTTGGAGATGTAAGTCACATCACACAATATGTGACATATTAAGACAATTCAAAACATTCAACAACATAACATAACGTAAATGCATAAGAAAAAACAAAGGAGCTTAGCTCTTTAATAATTAATTTTCATGAATAAAGAACATGGAAATTCTTACCCCTAATGTCAAGATAAAATGAATGGTGTAGAAAAGAATGTTGAACTCTTGCGGTACATCTGTACCAGCCTTCATGCTCTGGGCTTGCGGCTCTTAGCCAGATAGTACCATCTAGTAGTATCGAGCCTCCACTGGCATCAGTAGCTTCGGACTGACCCCAAAGAACGTGACGCCAGTTATCACCATCTGGACAAATTAAATTACGTTACTCACTTACTTACGTTACTCTTAACTTGGTTAATAGATACTGTGTAAATCTTTAAGGAAGCCAGTAGCAATATCTCATTGCTCTCTTCCTCAAGTCTCCCTTAGGTACGTATTTTCACGGAAGATCGAATATAAGTTCTGTAACTCTAGTATACAAGGATCTCTGGCCATAAAGTAACTGCTTCCAGTTATTATCTACTTATCATTACTTATTTTCAGCTTTTAATTTACATTTAAATTTTTAATTTAATTCTAACTAGTGTTACAAAGAAAGTAGGTTTGTTTGAACCATAATCACGCCTCAACTATTCAACTGATCATCATGAAATATCGCATACGTTGTCTAGGACAAAGAAATAAACTTTGATCTAAACATGAAAAAAAACAATCGACTTTGTTTCGTAAACTATTTGAAGTATTTTTTTTAATAAAATAGGTAAAATAAGACGACTACAGGCTTAAAATAACATACATGGCAAATACCTTAATATATCTAATATATCATAAGTAAAACCATTAAATTTTGCTAAATTGTGCGTACAAACTTATTATGGCTGTTACATGCGTGGAAAAAACATGCTCTTTAATGTTAAGATTATTTTAATGTACAACTTCAAAAAAGCCTTGTATTTAACAGTAAATCAAAGAGTATTCCTTTTTATAAAAAAGCGACTCTTTTTTAAATCTAAACTAACCTACTATTCTGGTCACAGCTCGTTTCTGATAATGATTCGTTTTCTTGTGGGATCGCAATTCTAACCTTTTTTTTTTTTTACTTGTGGAAATCCCCTCGGACCGTCACCCCACCGGAGTTTGCGGCGGGGTGGTGTGTCGGGCTCGGACCGACTAAAACCACACGGTGTGCCAATCTGCGCCTGTAATAGGAGGGATCCGGGAACAGCTATTATCAAGACATCCGGACCCCTCCTAGCGCCGGCCCGCTCCTGTTGCGGGCTCCGTCTCAAAATTTTTTCCTCTCTTTAGGCGACGTCCGGCACACGTGGACGCCGCCCCCTCGCGGCTGGCCAAACTAATGCGGGTGGAGGGGCAATTCTAACCTAAGCTAACCTACTTTTCTAAAAGCAGCTCGTTTCTGACGGGGTCGCCTTAAACCTTAAAAAATAGGTATTGGTCTAATACACCGCGCTGGCTAGACGGGTAGCCAGCGCGGTGTAGTAGACTCTCATTATTTTAATGTAAAAAATATTTAATTGACGTAAATACAAACAAGTCAAAAAAACAAATTTAACGTTCGTAAATATCTTCAAACAAGTTAAACTCATACTCGGACCATTTCTTTGTTGCTATCTATTTATTGCAAGTGAAACTATTATAAATAGATAGCACTCATTTACAGGGCTTAATAAAAACATCCCTACATTTGCAGTTACACAATCTTAATATATATATGTGTACCTGTAGAATACTCCCAAGATATTCTCGGCGTAGGTTGTCCCTTAGCGGAACACGGAAGTAGCAAGGCAGCACCAGCGGACACCGAGGTGTTTTGCGCTCGCCACACCCACGTCGGAGGTTCTGTATGGAGAGACTGCTTTATATGTTACGCTGTTCCATTCGAGAATAAAAAATAAGACAACTAAATAAAACTATTTTCGAAAAGTTTAGTTTGAATATAGTATAAAGTAAGTTTGAGTACAGTATAGTAAAAAAAAAACCTGTGTCAACTTTAGTTACCGATTGCTAGTCTTTAATAAATAAAAGTATAGGATGGATTTGAAAATATTAAAAAAGGAAATATTTCGCTATGAATTCAATTTTTTTTTCTGACTCAAAGCCATCTAGTTTTAAACTAAGCAGAGCTTGTATCATGAAAACTAGATTGACTGATAGAATACTTTTTTTTTGTATATCCATATAGTTTTTTATATTGAAAACACACAAAAGTAATCTATAATTTTTATTTTTATTCAAGTTCAGTAAGCTTCAAAGCAGTACAAGTACAATTTTATTCGACGGGTCACCAGGTACAACTCATTATTATGCATGTACGTTTAAAATTTTGCATGAACAGACTGACGAAATATGTGATTCTCTTCTAATAACTATAAACAGCCCATGTACCATATTTCTGCAATTAAAGTATCATTTCATTTCATCAAATCATCAAACATGTGGCAGAAAACTGCTTAACTGTTTTGTTTTTTCCAATTTATATACCTATACTCGTACCTATCCTAGGTTAATATTATACTATATAATTCAGTGCAGTTTATATAGTACTAGCTGACCCGCGCAACTTTGTCTGCGTCTCTCAATAGTAATAAATTTTCTCTGTTTTTGAAACATTCTTCATTGGTGCTCCGCTCCTATTGGTCTTAGCGTGATGATATATAGCCTATAGCCTTCCTCGATAAATGGGCTATCTAACACTGAAAGAATTTTTCAAATCGGACCAGTAGTTCCTGAGATTAGCGCGTTCAAACAAACAAACAAACAAACAAACAAACAAACAAACTCTTCAGCTTTATAATATTAGTATAGATAATTAAATTGTATAATAATTTCTGTCAGTTTGTACGTCATAGATTGTAAATTACAGCATACAGTTAATATATAGTTTATGTTATAATAGTTTTTTTATATTTACTTAGCACAAGCTCGAATAAACCTAGAGATAGACAATAAATACCTTTGACAATTAACGAAGCACTATGGCTAACCGTTCCAAAATCATTTGTAGCTCTGCACGAATATTCTCCACTATGACTCGAAGTTAGATCTTGAATGATCAGTAAAGAAAAGAAATCCATATTTTTCTGTTCAACCTGGTAACAATGGTAATAATGATTAAGCATTTAAATATTACGAGTATAATAAAATAATGTTTCAAGAATTATTGTTAATGTCAAACTAGTCAAACATACATATACTAGATACATACACACAAATCAAAAATGAAAACAAAAAAATAATATAAAATAGAGATAAGTATTTTCTTTTACTTAGTTTTTCAATTAGTTGGATTTAGTCGGCAAACCTGTTATTATTAACACTCGCAGGATGGGTGTTTAATATTATATCACCATTCAATAAAACATATTATCACAGTTCAATGATCTAAACAACGCCATACTTACTTATTGTGATGTACTTACTTTAAGTATAGAAGGTATCGGTAAATTGTCCTTGTGCCAAGTGAATTGAATAGGTTTGTCACCAGATACTAAGCTACAGGTAGCTTGAGTGCTTCCTCCCACTTCAAGCTCTTCAGGAAATTGAAACGGCGCTATCTTTGGTGGCTCTATTGGCAATGAATTAAACGTTTAGTTGTTCAAAAGACTCTTGTAAAAGACCTTATACTGAGAACGTTTTAATAAATATAGGCTCAAGCATTCCTTATTGAAAACAATTTTAGATTTCGTTTCGTTCAAAATTAACAATCAGTAAAACATCATTCTAAACATCATAAAATCGATATTTCTAAATATATTTTTGAAGTATCAAATTTAATAAAAATACACAAAGACTAGCAGCTAATACAAATTTATAGAATTTCTTACTATGAACTTCAATTCGTACGGTTCTTCTTGCAAGTTCACCACTTTCAGCCCTCACTTCACACGTATAAGTGCCAGCTGCTGCACTTCTTACTGAATTCAGTCTTAAAACTCCTCGTTCATCATTAGCGCCCATAACACTTTCTACTAACGACCCATCTTCTCGCCTCCAGACCACTTCCCTGTAAGCAACAACAACTTAGTACGTTTTTACCATTTTACCAATCATTGTACCAGAAATTCAACTTACTTTATAGGATACCCTGAATAAGGACAGTGTATTGTCACATCTGTGTCAGTCTTAACATGGAGTGCTGGTAAATATCTGATATTTGGTGGACCTGCAAAAAAACAACAATTAATATCACATCACCGTACAATTTTTTTTATGGACGTTCCTGTTTTGTTAACCATTAATTTCTTATGTATACTTAAGAAATTAAATATTAATTAACTAATTAAATATTAACATAGTTAAGTGTGACTATAAATAGGCATTATATTAATTACAGAATATTTAATAATTTTAACCACCACCAAATATCAGTTTCTCTCGGAATCATTAATCGATCCTAAGGTTGCTTAAGAAGATGCCCATTGTATATCTGTGTGACAAAACCATTTATGTATGTTATCTATCTCTCTATATTCAGTTTTCCTTCTCTTTATATTGGATCGCTAATTTTACAGGATACAAGAAATATGGAACGTACCATAAACGTTGAGTCGTGCTTGATGGGCATGTGATCCTTGAGAATTGGTTGCATTGCAGCCGTATCTACCTCCCTCATCAGCAGTTCTTATAGTAACACTTAGAGTTGAAACTATGGTTCCTTCTTCACTTTCAGGTATTGCTTCTGCTCTCGTATTAACACTATACCTGTAAGAAAAATTATCTCGAGTATTGGCATTTTCTACCTTTTACCTAACAGTTTCTTTTCTATGACCTTACTTATCTGGAGCAGCAGGCAATGGGCGATCGTCCAAAGTCCAAAGTATGCGAGGCGAAGGAACTCCAGTAGCAGCACATCTTATCACAATGCTTTGTCCAATTCTGGCAATCGCCCCACTAAATGTTGACACCAATCTTGGCGGCCTGTCTAAAAAATATTTTTTCTAAGGTGTTTTAATAATATTGATATATTCACCACCTCCATATAGATAGTCTGAAATTTTATCTACCTACATGATATCTGTAAAATAATCCTCTAGCTTTGTATTTACTAATTCATAGTAAAAGGTCTATGTAATTGGTGGTCTTAAATAATATACTATTATTACCAGCAATGACTAATTCAACTCCTGCTACAGCGGATTCTGTATGGTCGTGCGCTGTGCACTGGTAAAGGCCCGCGTGATGTGACCGGACAGGTCCTATGGACAGGCGTGACTGTGGAGCGTGTAGTGGCCTCCCCTCGTGCTGCCAACTCAAGGTAGTGCCGCCACTGCGGCCGCCATGCACCGAACAGTTGAAGTGGCCGGTGCCGCCTGTGCCTATCATCTACAATAAGCCACTCTAATGACAAATACAGAAATCAAAAGCAAGATTCATTTAGTCAAAACTGCTACAGAGTATTTACAAATGTTTAAACTTATTGCGTAAAGCAGAGTGAAAAGTAGGGATGCAATTAGAATCATCTCATTTTATACAGTCAAGTACAGGACACAGACTAGAATTAAATAAAAAGTAAACGTTTGATACAAAGCTATGGTAATAAGTAATTATTGACACTGAATTAACTTGAATTAACTGAAGCAGTGAATTAACTTGGGGAAAAACAAGACAACCATAACATATTGATTTTGTAAACAACAATACTACTGTGAAAAAATAATTTGCATTGGACTCAGTTTCATTTGTTTACCTTTCAAAAATTTTGCATCTTTTTTACTTAAATCACCATATTAGCTAACTTATGATATTTAATCATAATTATGTGATTGAAATATTTTCCGTATGGATATGTGATGCGGAAAATGAGCAGAATATAGTTAATAAAGTTTTATGCATTGTAGTTGACGGATCTAAATGTAAAGGACGATCAAAGAAAGAAAAGTCGGACAAACTTTTTTTTTAACGACTCGAAATAGCTTCCACGTCTTTTTTAATACATAGATAAGCTACATAAACATTACTCACCAGAGGGTTTGGTGCCACGGTAACTGTCAAAGGCTCATATATGACCAGCTTTACAAGGACTCTTGAAGGGGAATCCGGATTTGATGAACAAGCATATCGTGATGCGTGATGGGTTCGAGCGCTAGATATTACAAGTGATCCGCCTCGGACGATACCTTCTGAAGTTACTGGTGTCCAAGTCCCACTAGCGTCTTGTCGTTGCCAACTAATGATCAGGATTATATAAGACTACGTTAGTATCCATCCTAACTTATACACTTAATATTAAATACGAATGTGAGTTTGCTCTTCAGACTTTCGCGACGTTACTACTCAACCGACAATCATTAAATTAGCATACCTATACGTTGTCAGGACTACCGGAAAGATATAATCACACAATCACGCAATCGTCAATTTTTCATTTGTAATATTTTTATTTGCAAAAAAATTAATAGCTGCTTTAAGAGTAGATTAGAAAAATGACAATTTATTTAAAAACGTAAAAAATTATTGTGTTACTTAACACAGGTGAAGATGTCGACAAGTACATGGACAAGTAAAAACACTAAAAACATTAAAGAAAATGTTAAAAAACAATTCACTACAAAATATATGGGACTTATACAGTTCTCCTAGCTAGGCTACGAAATGTATTTGTATTTAGGATGAACTATGAAGTCTTAGCAAATCTATTTTATTAATTAAACCAATATTGGGTATTTTTAAAGTGTCGGAGCCGTGAATTAAAGATAATATGTAAGCGAAATTATTTTATTTGTAATATTGAACCTCATTAAAATGCATGATAGTAAACTAAAAAATTAATAAAAAGCTGCATTAGTATCCGTTCGCCGTTAGACAAACGGGTTAATTGTTGTTACTCGCCTTAGATATTACCTCTATATAATCAGTGATCGACTGATATTAATTTATTGTTAAATATCTTACCTAATACTATGGCCACTCATATGACGTAAAATACAAGGCAATACAACAGTGTCTCCGGTACGTGCTTCCACCGAGTTCAGTTCAATGTTTTCTAACCAGCTGCTATCTATACAACAAAAATTACACCTTCACAGTTTTTGTTTAATCTAAAAACATCATTGTTACTTATTCGTCTTATCTGACTTTGTAATAATTCTACTTTACATTACATTAAATTTCTCTTAAATGGGGATGAGTCATTGCACTAACCATCAGTAGTGAGTTTCAAAGGTGAACTTGGCGTATCGAGGGCTACGCAGGTATATTCCGCTTGTATGTCCGCCTGCGTTAAGTCTAAACCAAGAAGAAGACCGCTAGCACCTGACACCCAGCGTGATTCTGTAACAAATTCGTCAGATATACTTTCAAAAATTTCTCATTCTCATAACTGATAGCTTTAGTGCTGCTCTATGGTTGAATATTAGAAGAAAGATTTTTGAATTCTAGTGTCTTCCAAGAAACTTATAATTAAATTTCGACGTATTTTAACTTAGTTAACATTTTTTTTATTTAAAGATGAAATGCATTATGCATGGAGACTTTGAATCATCTTAGACTAAGGTTCTAGTTGTAACACTTTCCTTTCTTAGCAAAACATCCTCATAAATGCTCCGTTATGTGAAATAATATAATATTATAAATTTAATAATATTCAGTAGAAGCCGTAGGAGAGCACAGAAGCCAGGGTTCGATTCGATCTCGAACAGGATATGTCATTTACTTTACACACGCTTTCTTCCAAGTACCTAGAAACATCTTTAAATAAAAAGGCAACTGTCCTGTAATGTATCAACTATTAAAAATACGGCTTAGAACTTACCAACACTCAAATATCCAGATGAAAGAGGAAGTCCATCTTGCAACCACGTTATATCCACCAGACCTACTTGTGGTGAAAGTTCACACCGCAGCACTACGGAGCCACCGACCTTGGCTGGCGTGAGCTGCCGTGTGCCATGCGATAGTACATTATCTTCCACTGCACAGCAAAATTGTAGAAAAGTCAGTAATTAAAGAAAATTTCTTACATAGTTGACCCTATTTTTTTTAATTAGTAATACTGTATGTTTTTTTGTATAACCGAGGGTCAAATGAAGAGGTGAGACACTACCGCTATTTGAGTGTTCTTTGAGTTTTGGCACTCTGCCCCCCCCCCCCCCCCCCCACCCAGAATAAATAATAAATATATCGGACATTTAATAATATGCTCACTCACTCGGTAGAATGCAATGAAAGAATTACTTATAACTGATTGCCTGCAAGGCCAAATTATGGCTGCGGTCGGATCGGCCTATACATGCCTAGGCATACCTACACTCCTACGGTATGTAAACATATTTATTTTTTACACATTGTTAGCATCACAAATAAAAAAAAAACAATATGGCTTACTTAGTGTTACTTTATATAAAAGGCAATGCGGTATACAGTAATAAAATTTTGGTTAAATTACATTACCAATTTCGCATTCTTTTTAATAATGCGCTCTCGAGACTTCTTTCGTAACTTGTCAACGAAGAAATTAAACAAAAATGAAACGGAATAATAAATAAAATAATAATTGCGTCCGACGTTGCTTTGTTTGTGAAGCCGTTCAAGTCTGTCTTACTCAATTTTAAGTCGTACTTGAATCCCGCTTGTAAGATATTTTTAATTAATATCGAGTTATTGGATCTACAGTAACTTAAATTGGTTTCGATGTTTTTTTTATTTTCCTTTAAATATTAGTCCACCAACCATGATTTGCTACAATACTACTCAATTTAAAATAACTAGTTTAAAAAATATAAAAGCCATTAGTATTTTGTACCTCTATACCTTAAGATACCCAGTTAGACTTTTAGCTTTTTATTTCAAAAATTCGTACATAGATAAAAGAAAACTTAATTGAACAATATCGATTGCAAATATAGACTTCATGGACTACTTACTAGTTATGAAAAACGAGAGACGTAGAAAGTGGATGACGATTTTTTTTTTTTTTTTTATTCTTAATGCACAAATTGTACATTGGCGGACTTAATGCCATAGGCATTTTCTCCCAGTCTACCTTAGGGTGGTGCTGAAATGTGTGGCTAGGTGCACTAGACATTAATAGGAGAAGTAAAAGAAAATGATTGATAAGTTAGGTAGAAGTAATGCCATAAATATACATACATTCAAATACATACACATACACAAATACTTATATAGCAACATACATACATAAGCAAAAAAAATCAATAATATATAAAATTTCAAGGTTGTGATGAATCTGCTAGCGTGTCCAGGATGCAAGCTCTAGCTTTCATCTTGAATGAGAGGCGGCTGGGTGCTATCCTGACTTCGAGAGGGAGAGCATTCCAGAGGAGTACGGATTGGATTAGGAACGAGGAGTGGACACAAGCGGAAGTATGAGTGGGGCAGAGCAGAAGAGGATTGTTAGCTGACCGGAGGGTTCTATCGTGGTTGGAGCACAGATATTGGAATGAAGATGTCAGGTAGGAGGGGGAAATGGGTGAGTAGATAATGGAATAGAGAGAGGTGAGGACGCGCAAGTGTCGGCGCTGGCGAATAGTGAGCCAGTTCAATTCGCGACGAAAGGAGGATTTCCTTTAACCTTAACATTGTTTTGCCATTGCAGTCAATGTTTGTATATTTAGTTAAGCTCGAAAACATTTTAACATTGTTTTTAAGAGCTTAAAAATAATTTTACTAAATAAAAGACCTAAGTACTATTATTGCGTAAAAACCTTTTAAGTTGTTGTTTTCTTTTATCACTATTGTAAATAAAAAAATAATCAAATTTTATGAAAATAAAATCGTTTATCTGATCTTCCTGTTTACCCTCTACGTTTAATAAAGTCTAAAATGATAAATTCTAAAGTAAATTATTTCTAACGCTAAAGGTCCTTAGCCATGTTAATGAAAAACGATACAATCGACAATAGTTAAATTCAGATTAGTTCATTGACTAAACGAAGAACGCGTTCTGGATCAAGGTAAGTAAATATCACAACATCAAAGTGTTGAACACTTTCTTTGAAACTCATTTGAATGAGAATAAGCATATTCTCAGCCTCCATTTGTTGCCTTTCAATTTTATTTTATAGTCAGCTTCATTGTAGGGGAAAATATTAAAATATGGTAAGTAAAATCTGTAACTTGAGCGCTAGTTCGTAAGTTTAAAAAGATGCTCTTACGATCTCTTTCGATTGTGAAACTCGTTAACGTGGCCCGCCTGTATTCGACATGAACTCTACTGCCTTTGTGAAAGTTCGTTGTCGCTACTCCACCTTAGAAGTTCGTTGTAACTAACAAGCCCACTTGAGCATTCCTATACCGTCTTGTCTTAGCCGTCAGACTCAATTGATATTGTTCCTTTAAATAGACTAGGCACAAAATAAACTAGTTATCACGTATTGAACATCATACTGCTCTCAAGTACAACGCATCACTCATTAATTACGGACCCTATAACGTTTTTTAAAAAGTAAAGTTATATTTTACTTGTAACTCAGTACATAAGTACAAAAAAGTTTTACAAATGAAATTATTTTCAATAACAAAACGCCAGCTTCGTTAAAACGAGGTTATTTTTCTGAGATGAGGGACATAATGTCACTCAATCTTTAATTAAAACTTTCTTCGTCCTTCACTGGAAAAAGTAATTGAAGTAAAAAATATTCATCTTTTCAAAATACCTAATATTAAGGTCCAAAGCAAGTGAAGTAGAATATGAACATTATGAATATCAAATTAGTGTTAATAAATTATTGTAAAACATGTTTAGTCTTAGGTATCGTGTTATTAGCCATGTATACTACTTATGAATAAAACAACATATAGAATCTTGGTCGGTAACACTCATTTTTTATCACGTTGTCTGGTTATTTTGTAGGTATATTGCGACGCATTGTTTGTCTTTCAGCCTTTCAGAGTCCACAGCTGGACATAGGTCTCTCCTTAGAAAGGAGGTTGCCAGTAATAAGAATATATTTAAAAGGACCGTGACTGAGTTGCTACAGAGCGCAGTTGTTTTCTATTTCATTTAAAAGTAATAGCTAATAAAAGCGGAGGGTTTTATGTTGCTTATACCTCAAATTTAGCCATTACTAGCTGGTACGTATTTTATTTTATTTATTGAAAGAAACATCAAAGACATTTAACACTAGAAGGGTTGGCGAAAATGCCACCTTCAACGACCGCGACCGTAAAATTTGTGAGAAGGTTTATTAGAAGTTTGTGATTGAAACAAAATTATAAATTTTGATTGCTGATTTTAATTACTTATATACTTTGATCATTGGTACAATATTAAAAAAACATTTTTATATACTTTTTTACGCATCGGGCACAAACAGTTTCTTCTCAGTGCAAACAGTTCTCCCCCCCCCCCCCTCGGAATCAGAGGAAAAGGGGATGTGGACTAAGGTCCTCCTCACTCACTAGTAGGAGTATGACCTGAAATTTTGCTGGATTCGACAGTTCGTTCCACCATCACTAGAGATAAATGTCCTTTTAGTGCCATCACTAGCTAATTGTTTCATATCTACTTCTGGCATGACGACGTTGGAACCAGACCCCCACCATGGGTTGTACTTCCAGAATACTGGCTCTGCTGTCAGGCCCAGGTCTGGTGACACGAATTCTTCGTATACCGCAATCGCTGTGTAAATTCCTGTCCTGCATTTCAGTGTCGAAATGACTTTTGGTTGGAGTATCAGTTTCAGAATATCTCGATGTAAAACTTTCTTGTTCAGGCTGAGAGTCTTGCTGCGTTTTCGTGAACCTCCACTGATAATTTATTGTCACTTTCATCACCTAAGACATCTTCTTTAATATCATGAAGTTGCAAAAACTACCGTACTATTTCCAAAGTCGACAGTAGATTCGAACTCATTTAATAATGTACATACATAACAGTTTACTTCAAAGAATCAGTTGGAATAGTCACGTCAACAAATACAAAATGTAAATAAAAGTTACCATAAGATTGTAGAAATAAAAAAATTGTGTTCAACACTTCACACTATTTGAAGTGGAATCAAACTGACGGCATACGGCCTTATTAGGTATGAGTAAGCAGTTCTTGAATACAAATCATTACTCATTTATTTTTATTAAGTGAAAACTATACAATCCTAAATTATGAAAAGTCAATAAATATCAATACAAACTGAAAAATTGACAAAAAGTTATAAGCGATCAAAAACATTTAGCCTTCCTTTCTGGTTTATTGTTGTCTAAAAGTTGACCCTTCTAGTGTTAATTCACATTTATGTTTTTGATCAAATTTTTTGATATTGTTAAGTATTTAAATATTCACTTAATTTTGTTTTTCGGACATCTAACACACAACGCCATCTAGTTTCAAACTACATAGAGCTTGTTCTGTGAAACCTAGATTGACTGATAAAATACTTATATATTTTTTTTGTAAATTCATACATATTATATTTAGAAAACATCTTGGTCTATAAGTTTTATAATAAAATTTAAATTATACATAATTTACATTATTACAATAATTTATCATAAAATTTGACACCCTTTTAAAGTAAAAAATGACAATGAAATTTTTATTTAAATAACAGAGACACGTTTCAGTAAATGCGTAGAATTGTGTATTAAAAGAGTTTGGTTTTACTTTGTGTTTTATTTTCTTCTCATTGTTTCATAAAAATACCTGAAATTTAGAAAGGATCCGCTATTTTAATTAATGATTAAAGACTTATTTGCTAGGTATCTTTAGCAATTATCGAGTGTCGAGTAAGCTTTTAACAAAGCTTAATGATAATAAAGCCTTGAAAGCTCTGACTTATCTATTCAACTAATCGTAATTTGATTCGTGTTTCAGTTTTGCTTGCGGACATTCGAGGAACAAAAGAAAAGTTACGATGCTGCGAACTCACTCTAATGTCATTTTTAATCCCTTAATTAAAAGTTTTTCCCGTGTAAAAAAATCTCGGAACCGTAGGCAGTTTTTCATTTTATTTCATATTTCCCTAGCTGTAACGGAAAGTTAATTGGTCCAACTCGACTCGAAGTTGTAATTTGTTTTACTCTCTTACCTTACATCTGTTTATTACACAAGTCTGTTTACAGTTTTTATGATTTTCATTATAGCTTCTGTATGATTGAGATGAAATTTGTACAATACATAGATAAACACAAATTATATCAAAATAATAAATATTTTGGATTCGCAAGTAGGTTTCCGTTACAAATTTGACTTCATGAGATAAAAGCTACGAATAAAGAATTGAAGCACTGGTTTTTTTGTTTATACTAAAATTATGTTGTGTTTATATATAATTTAACCACATCAGAATGTGATACTGCCTGTTTGTCGGTACTTGTACGTTCGCAAACGTATCCTGGTATTCAAGGTCGCGTCATCAGCAAACTTCGTGACGCATATGTCGGTTGCAGCATTGTGCGCTAGCGCATTTCCATCTGCATTCAACTCGCGCGCCTACTTTCCGTATTTGATACTAGACGAGTTTTTATAGCTTATTAAGAAGTAGTATATCATATATTTGGTTACTTTTTAGTAAAAACTTTTCTCGTTTTAATTAACATACATTTTGATTCATTAACTAAAATTATGTTATTGAGCACGACCGTACTTTTACCTTACCGTTCTTTACAATTTTTCTTTGCTAACTAAAATTGTGACTGTCATCTAAATCAATAGAAAACACAGATTTATTAGTACTCGGTTAGGAAATTATTAACTATAGGTATACGCATCTACTAATTCAATAAAGTGTTTGTTGATAATTTATTATCCTTTAGTGTACTTACCAGGTTGTAGCATAACTGGTCTGGATAATACTGTTCCGACTCGATTTGAAGCTCGACATCGAAGCATAGCTCCACCGCTACTTCCCGCGTCCATAAGCGATCGTCTCGCGCCGACTACCAAACGTCCATCACTCAAGACATGCCTGTTATAAAGAAATTAGTACCTTTGATTACAACGGACTAAAAGTAACCAACGACTGATAAACTTTATATCTTTTATTTTGACTGCACGTACAATAGAACTAATTTAAGCCCTTTCTGTAAAACAATGTTTTCTTTTGGACTTAATAATATGTTATATCTCAAGATTCTAAAAACCTATAAAACTAATCTGAAAGTTAATAATTAACTTTTTTGTCAAAATACTTTATATCATACAAATAAATAAATACTATAAAGAACTTGACAATAAGGTACATGTTTTTTTTTTCGTTTGGAAACCCCATCGGGCCGTCCCGGCCGGACGTTGCTTTGGGATCTAACCGACCAAAACCACACGGTGTGCCATGCCTGAAATAGAAAGGATCCGGGAACAACGGTGTACCTCAAATGCGATGAACTGAGCTAGAAATTTATTTTTCCAATTACCTCCAATTCTTAAGTTATCATGTTGCACAAAATAATACATAACGCATAAATGAAAGCTTCTATCTTTTTTCTAACTGTTTGGACAACTAGTTTACTAAAGTTTGCATTGTAAACTGGTTTTGAATGTTGGTCTAGTGGATAGTGACCCTGACTGCTAAACCGGATTTCGTGGGTTCGATTCCCACCCAGGACATATATTGTGTGGTGAACACGGTCATTTGTTTGTGTGTGTGTAATTTATCTATAATATATATGTATTTAAAAATATATAAGTAGAATACAGATAAAAAATTTATGTAGGCTCGTTCTCTCTTCAAAAAGGTGAAAAGCATTGAACGTAATGATTTTAAGCTTATTGAATCTAATCTTTTTATGGCAACAAAACCTTATAACATAGACAAACATATTCAACGAAGTACATTTATGTTCAAAAATCAAACGTATATTAACGTCAAAAGCCTATTTTCATAGCAGTGGAATCCAAATTTCAGATCTTATAACTGTTATCATAAGAGTTAATACCCATTCATTTGTCTTGGTATAATATCCTCGTTTGTGACACGTCAAAACTTTAACTGGAGCGGTATCGGCCGCGAACAGGCACACTCCTTAGATTGAACTTAGCTCGTATAAAAGTACGTTATGACGGTAATCACCGTTCACAAGCTTAAGATACAGCTAATTCGTTAATTACAAAGTTTTTAAAACTTCTTACCTTTCTCACCATGACATAAATCATAATAATTTTATAATAGGAATGTTAGGCATTCCCATTTAATAAATAGATTTTATATTTGCTAAGTTTTATTGGGAAAATTACGTTAGGTTTTTTTCGAATATAAGCATGGGAAAATAGAAATAATGATACAGAACAGAAAATCAAATCTGTCATCATCAATTAAATAAATCGCGTCTCTTGGTCCGATGCAACAACAGGTAATTCAGATAGCACAGCGTTTATTTTTTACAGTACATTATAGACAGTACATACATATATTCACCCAGCACCTCATCGCTTTTATCTCTTCTAAGTTTAGGGTCATTTGCTGCGAGAATAATTAACTGAATATTTAGTTTAACCTATAATCTGCTCTATTATTGTAAACAGAGACGTTCCTTAAAAACCATGCTTGGTGCTAGGTTACATAAATGCTAATATAGATTAAATCTAGAACAATAAAAACATTTTATTTTACAACTTTTGCGTAGACTTTATAATAAGAATATAGGTATTCAGCAAACTCTGATTTATTTATTACTTGTCGCTAAACAAAGAGAAGACGATGTCAAGCGTGTGCATGTATCCAAGGAGTGAAAGCGAGTTAATCAAGAGATCATTTATGTAGCAAATAATACACAATCTAGATACATTAGCAAGCGGCATACATAGGAGACAGCGTTGCCTGTACGTTGTGCATTCCGTTGATAACCTAATGATGCTTCCGAGAATGGTACGCGATGTGTTTTATGTGATATTAACAATCTTGAACTTTTTCCCCCAGTCCCTCTGTCTCACTCTATGACACACTTAAAAACATATTTATGCAACAAAAACATATTTATTGTGTTTATTTCTTATTGACTTTGTATTTCTTTCCTTGTTGGGCGGCTATAATGAATAGTCTTATGCTGTAAGCAACTTCTGTAAGGTCACTTTCTGAATAAGGAGAAAACGAATGTGGACAAATATGATTTTATTGGTTATTGAATAGTTTTTTTTATAAGTAAAAATAAATATGTTGGTTTAGTATTGATAAATGTACCTCATAGATCTCAAGGTGGTAGTATAGGCATATACAGTTCTAAAAGTTTTAGAAGAAGTGTTACATTATATGTAACAGGAAATACTTAGATAACATTTCAGGATCTTGATGTCAAGTTCTCGTAACATGGTTGAGGAAAGTTGCCAAGTTCATATTAACTTAATTTGTGACTCGTTGTAACGATAGACCGTGAAACAGTGGGTAATGTACGTGAAAAAATTAGTTCTACGGTGAGCAGTTTGTCGTTTCAAAAATACTAATTTAAATATGTTGCAGAAATAGCGTGAAATTACTGAAAAATTACGAACGTACTTAGAAATATATACCTACAAGTAAATTATTACTCAAGATTCAAACATCTTTTATGGTTTAATTAGTTTTTTAGATGAATGAGTAATATAAAGTTTAATACATATAACTTTCCACATCAGTAATTAAGTAATTTAGTTTCTATCTAGTTTTTCAGTCTGTGTCGGCTTTGTCGCGCCCGCAAATAACTCGCGTAACAAAAATATACATTGGTATATACGCTGTCTTCTGGTACCGAGGTATTAGAAGTTAGTTGGTTTAATTAACTAATTAATTATTTGGGTTACAGTAGACACGACCAAATGGATGATAACAAGAAGAAAAATAAACTTAAACTTTTACCTTACCTCTGACACTAACTAGAACTAACAAATGGTATGTACCATTTCTAGTTAGCGTAAGTGTAATGTGTATGTACACACATAATACGTACACATACACTCACGGGTTAGTAGGTACCTGCCGGGGTAAACAGAGCCTATAGAACCGCATTTGCTACGATCCCGACATACAGCTTGCGTCTCTTCCACATTCATTAGATTTTCCATACACGCTTGCCAGTTACAAGTTGGTTTAACGAGGTCCTTCGGCAGTATACTGTAGTTCTGGTTAGTATATATATATCTTCTTGAACTTACACTTAATCTGCCCAAATTATCACACCATCCCTTTCTCAATTCTGGTCACTATATATTCTATTAACCCACACCGTTTTCTTACCTCATCATTCCTACGAAAAGAAACTTCCTAAGAAACAGTCATATTAGAATGCATATTTCTGTATATTTATTTATTTTCTATAAATATCATTCAATACAAAATATCATTACAGGAAAAATCGATATTAACTCTACAGAGATTCTGTTATATTTAATCATTCCTCTCATCAAACCGCCGCTTTGACAGGTTATCTACAGATGGCTGCTATATTCGATCATTGGCAATTTTCTGCTGACATAAACATTCTATACGTGTCCATATGCGTATATATTGATATGGAAATTTAATTTTCTACTCCAATGTTTGTTATTTGGGCGTCCTATTACATAGAAATTATTAACAATGAGAATCTATAAATTGATTATCTCTCGTGTCAATTAGAATGTTTAAAAGTAATAAGCACCAAAAATAAAAGTTAATTACAACATTTTTAAATTTAGAAACACTTTAATGGTTCAGCTTTATATTAAAAAATAGCATAAAATTCGATTAAGTATTTTGGTAAGAGTAGAAGTGACCAAAGTGGGTACGGTGGGTAAGCCCCTGTGTTGCGCCTGAACACTTATAGGTCCATCACTAGGCTATAAATAAGCAGTCGCAACGGTTACTACCGTTTACCTTCCATGACAAGAAATTGTATTTGTTAGCCAATTAATTTCGTGAATGAAAAATATTGTTTATCTATATACATCATCATACATTATACTGGATCAATAATTGTGTGATGAGCACCGTGATTTGTTCTGTGTCTGGGTGGAATTAATCTATACATAATTCCACCTAGATGTATTTAGAAATATATAAGTATGTTTATTAGCCGTCTGTTTAATATAGCACAGGCTCTTATTATTATTATTACTAAGTTTTATAATCTCGAAGGACTAAATTATTATTAAACGTATTATTACTATTTATACGTATTAAACGACTACATTTTTTCGTCTTTAAGTTCAATCCCACTTACGTATTACGGAAGGAAGCTTGTCGCCATCCCGATAGGGACTTGAACACTTTAAGAATTAGATGGGAAAGTTGAGAGGATAATGAAAGGAAAGAAAAGTGGTTAAGAAATAGGAATGGGATATTGCTTATACGTAAGGATTTGGGAATATAAGCAATACGTCGAGTAGGCCAATGTCTCACACATGTAACTCGAACTAAAAACTACTACTTGCTGAAAAGTTCGAGCACTATATGTACTGTAGGCGATTACATTCCCAAGGAGGGTAAGCGTTAGGCACGTAGCCAGCCATAAAGAAACAAGTCGAAACTTTTTACCATATAATGAAAAACAAACCTGTATTTATTTAAAAACCATAATCATGATCAACAGCCTATAAGAGTCCACTGCCGATCATACCTTAACATAAGGCATCTGTGTCAATAATAACAATTTCGTAATAGGACTACGCAGTCTTATTACGATATTTGTACTCGGGTCCTCTGTAAGTTTCACATCATCAAATCAACAGCCTTTACTAGTCCACTGCTGGACATAAGCCTCTTCTTAGAAAGTAGGTAATCTGTAAGATTAATACTAATTAAACTGCCTAACATAATATTTTCCGGTTTATATAAAATATGTTTACGGCAATATCAAAGAGTTTAAATTCATCATATTCATATAAACTTGTTTGTAGATAAAATAATTATAAGTAAACATTGTGGGGGCAAATAAGAAAGACCATTAAACAACAATATGAATTAGTAGATTGACCGCGTAATATAATGAATCATACCCGTAATTCAAACTAACATCGGGT